CCGTTACCCCAACCGAGGGGCGCGCAGGTCTTCTGAAAGGCTTTGTCGCCCCGGGTACCCGTGTATCGAAATAAACCTCTTGCGGCTTGCATCCGAAGGCTGGTCTCGCTGATTCTTGGGAAGCGGGGTCTCCCCGTCTAGAGAGGCTCTCCCCAGAGTCTTTCACCTCAGGGTCAAGCAACAGGTTATCTAAAAAGAAAACGGAGAGGAGACTAGTGGCTATGGTAAACACTGAAGAAAGGGCTCAGCTCTGGACACCAGGAGTTTCTGTTTCAGAGCCACACACGGAAGACGCAGACAGGATGGCAGGGTGCTGAGAGAGCCTGTGGCAGAGCCTGCGAAGCACCCGAGAGAGGCTGAACGTGTGTGCGCTGAAGGTGGGTGGCAAGGGCAGTGCTCACCAGAAGGCAGAGAGTGAGGTGGTGAGAAGCACAACATTTTATTCACAGGGCATACAGTTCTTCCTCCCAATTTCACAAAACAGATCTTGAAGTTCTATATTACTTTTTCTCTGCATTTCTATTAGGTTTCAAGGAAATCATAACATTTTCTTCATAAAGTTACTGAAATTAAAATGAGCACTAAATTCACAATTTTAATACATTGTCATAAAATGAAATCAGATTTAGCTAATTTCAGAATTTTAATACATTGTCATATAGTGAAATCAAATTTATCTTTGGGGTATACAACATTTCGCAAATGAGCTACTGTAAAAATATTAGGCACTAATCAATTACACGATGGAACCAAATTAATACCATCATATTCGAGGGTATTAATATAAAGCAAAATTTGCTTCCTTATTAGTTTTAAATGACGTTTATAATTTAATGAGACAAAATGAAAATAGTTTAAGTAATAAATGTTTAATCAAAGAATTTTACATATTATTAACAGCATTCATTTGGCCAAACATCTACAGGTCTGTAGAATCCTACTGTATATAAAGTGGGAATGTATCAAGTATAGACTATGAAAGTGCAAATAACAAGTCAAGGTTAGATTAACTTTCTTTTTTTACATTATAAAATTAACTTGTTTACAAAATAGGCTTTGCCAGACTTTATTACTGAATTGGAAAGTCAATGACGGTGTTGTTTTTAAAATGTACCAAGGAAATACAAACTGGATAACAACAGTTTTTCACACTCAGGAACCCAGCACATCACAACAGGCACTGCACAAAGCCAGGGAACAGGAGCCCAGCACACATGGATCTCCTCAGGTGCCCTCCTCTCCACAGGGCATGCCTCCTCTCCACAGGCACCCCTCCTTTCCACAGGCCGGGACTCCTCTCCTCAGGAGTCCCTCCTCTCCACAGGCACCCCTCCTCTCCTCAGGGCATGCCTCCTCTCCTCAGTCCTCCTCCTCCTCCTCAGGGCATGCCTCCTCTCCTCAGGCCCCTCCTCTCCACAGGCCATGATTCCTCTCCTCAGACGCCCTCCTCTCTACAGGCACGCCTCCTCTCCACAGGGTCCTCTCCTCACTATGGCCATGCAAGCAGCCTCTAGGGATACAAGTGCATTCCACTGGAAAAGTTACAGCCTGATCTAGAAACTTTATGGTATTCATATTTTTAATCCAAATAAAAAATCCTTTCCTGTATTATTTCAGTTTAATGTACAGTAACACACTGTAGACAAGCTGGTATTTCACTCCACTAACCTGAACAGGGATTCGTATCAATGCTGTGATAACTGGAGAAAAACAACTGTTAGGGACTCTTGACATCCATGAGTGATCACCAATCATCAAGTACAATGTCTTGGCCATATGAAATCAAAGTACATGAATATTTCAAAAGCAAGGTTCAAAAAGAGGTAATGAAAAATAATAACTATGGATCTCGATATTAGAGACAATCTTATACCTGGCCTAGGACTTTGCTGTACAAACTTGGTATGGAAATTTTGGTTTCTGGTAACAATGTGGCAAAGCACTCCATGGAGTGCCGGTGTATCTATTTTGCTTATGTTATGCTAGCTTTAATAACAGGGAGAGAGCCATTCCAACAGGTTACTCTAGTTTAATTACACACGGTACCATTTGTATCTTAATTACAACTAGGACCAGTATTTCTTCACAGTAAGATACTGATAACTAGGAGGTTGAGTTTTTCAATACTAAACAGTGCTCACACAGCAGATGAGTGTTGCGTAAGAAAACAAACACAGCAGCATTTGCTATCTAGGCAAACGAATTGAACACTTAGCTGTCATAGTTACTGTAAAGGCAAGGCCATGGGTGGTTTCATGGAGGTCTTTGCAATTCATAGCATAGTTACTTCAGAAAAGACATTGAAATTTGAATTACTGACTTACTTAACTGCAACTATCCATTTAGGTTAGGCAAAGGCACGGTAACATGTTGCGTAGGATGTTGTATTGATTTTTTTTTTTTTTAGTAACTGTGGGATTTACTGTAACTCATGAAAACTCCAGTTTTTCTATGTTATAAAACACCATTAAAAGTAATTGCACCCGTTAATAATTAGAATGCACTGTAAAATTGTGAAAACAAAGAACTATGATTGCACTTCCAATAAAGTGTCTCTTAAATACAGCACCGCTGTTGCTAATCAACTGTATTTTAATATTAAAATAAACTGTTTTAACAGCAGCATTAGTTTTAGTTTACTTAAGCTACAGGCTACATTTATTTAAATGCAGTCTCCATGGCAACAAAAGCCTATTAAGTTCTGGACGTCATTGCTACCGAGTGGCACTTTTACTCCCGAGAACAGCGACACTGCCCTGGAGCACACCAGGAGGCAGCACACCTAAATGCCTTGTTAGTCAGAGTTTGGCACAATTGGACTGTGAATAGACGTGAGAAGGAGGAATCTTTGATTCATGTGAAAACAAAACCACTCACACTGTGGTAGATGCAGCACTGAAAGCGGCATGGATACCTCAGCTCATACTGCTCGGACAGGGGAAGGAGGCTCCCGAAGAGGACACAGATACTGAGGACACATTATCAGGACTGTCCAGCCCAACTTCTACAATGAAGAAAACTTTTCACTTTTTTAAAAAAGAGGAAAGCCATCTAAGGAGTAAGGAGTAAGCTTTTGATTTAAACGGTCAACTGAAGTACTGCCACCTCCAGGCTAGACAGCACTGCATTTTCTCAGAATGTGGGCGCCAACCCACTTTTTCCACTGCGTTTTCTCCAGCTCCTTTTTGTCACTAAAAAAGGGATAAATACAAAAGAAACTCCCTGTAAGGTTAAAGTCGGCACTGTAGCTACCGTCTGAGGGAACTCTTTTGCATTCAATCCTAATGTCAGTGATTTACAACTGAGTTCAGATTAAGTCCAAGTCTCTATAAAGCACACGCCACCTAGCAGGTCCCTGTACTGCGATTTACCCGGAGAGCAAATGTGTGCATTTCATACTAAATGTACTTGCTCAGGCCAGTCACTTGAGGTTTGAGGGGTTTGACTGGCCGCATCTGACCCATCCCCTCTGCCAACTGCTTCATTACTACTGTCACCAGCTTGAGACAACTCTTCCCTGGCTGGACTGTTCTCTTCCATCTGGGCTCCTTCTCCTTCATGGACACCTTCATGGACAATGTCTCTGGACACTGAGTCTTCTTCTGGTGGCACCAGTTCCATGTCCCTCACATCTTCTGACCCACCTCCGATAGAGGGAAGCTGAGGCTCTGCACTAATGTCCGTGGCTGCTGCTGGAGGAATCAGGGCGATACTCTGAGGGTTCATGTCATGAAACCAAGCCATAATATTGCCAAGAAGATTGTCATTGGCACTGGGGTCCTGGCCAGCTGAGTCAAGGTCACTGGAAGAGGGACAGAAATCACTTCTTGTCTCACTGAGAGGGCGTGAACTCAAAGTGTCAGTTGAGAATGGGTCACTGTCTGCTCCTAGTCTCATGAGGCTGTCACCAAGCTCCAGCAGCTCAGAGCTGCTCAGTGCAGCCCGAGGACTCTCTGTGCTCCTGGGTGCTGAGTCCAGCCGCGAAGGTAAGGAAGTGCCGATGGCTCCTAGGGAGGCTTCGTTACTAAGGAAGTGTCTGGTGTCTTCACCGACAGCCAGCCCAGAGTCTTGCAGTGACAGCTGTATGGCAAGGAGTATGTTGGGGTCATCTTCATCCAGGGAACTCAGAGCCTGAGCAGCAGAGAATAAGACCATTTTAAAATGGGACTAAAGGAATACATTTAATCCAACCACATTTACCAGTCTCCCTTTATCAGATAGTATTATTTCTAATTCTACATGTTATTTTTACATATTTAAATCTTACCATTTTCTCCTTGTCTTTGCTAAAACAGAAAAATATAGCAAACATAAATCTGAAATACAAGAACCCTCTTTGTAGCCTATTATTGAAATAAAACTTCTACCTCAGAAGGAAGAGAAAGGAAACCAACGAGCAGAGAAGAAGCAAAAGCATGGTGCCATGCTGCCAGCAACTACCTGGAGAGAGTCCTGGTTTGCAGAACGACTGGCAGGGCTGTAGTCCCGCAGGGAGGAGCTGTGCAGGACACTCATAGACGCAGAGCTTACCACGGATGTGCCAGGCCTGCGGCTGCTGCCACCATCTGGTATCTCTGCTTGGAAGCAATTGGCAGCACAGACAGTTCAGTTTGTTGTCTCCACACACCTATAAACTGGTGGGTTTTCTTTCAGCTCCTGTGAAAACTCAGCTTCGTATTCGCCTGTCTCCCGCATTTCCAGCAGGTCTGTGTGATGGTCAGCAATAACAGATACCACGTACACACATCTCAAATTTGCCTGCAGCTGCCACAACTTTCATTAATGCATGTTCTAGTGCCCATTCCGTCTTCCTAAGTCATAATAAATTTCAGTGTTTCTGTCTTCAGATTTAATAAAAATTAAAGAGTTCTGGAACTATAATAGCCCCAAGAACCAATATGTAGTCCAACTGATACTACAGTCTAGGCATGTTTAACTTGAAAGATAAATTAATGGTATCAAGAGCGCCCCCTTTCTGAGCACTCACAGTGTTTTACATGCATTATCTAATCTGACACTCATTTTAACATGAGGTAACTGACGACACAGATGGCCAGAGCCTTGACCTAAGTGACACAGCAGAGATGTGCAATAAATCTAGGACACTCCTATTTCAGTTATTAATTCCCTGATTGTCCTTACCTTGTGCCAATACAGACATCTCTACATCTTCAGGGAACCCAAATTACAACCTCACAAACATTGGCAACAGCCAGTTTTAAAAGCAACTCAAGAGACTAAGAGACTCAATGATACCCACCGCCCCCGGAACTCACCAAAAGTGCTTTCGCTTGGTTCTTCTGGATCTGTGGGGTTACTGAGCAGGCTGTGCACGTCTCCTCGACGGCGCTGCTGTCTATGCCTCCTCCGATACTGAAATTCAGCATATTCCTGCATAAACCAAAGGTTATAAAATACAGGAGAGCATGCAAATTGTAAAAATGCAAATAAAACAAAAAACACACTTTTCTCCAGGAGAAAAAAAAATGTGTGATTTTATACACATACCATAAAATCATTTGTTTTAGAAAAGGAAACTTCAAGTTTAGCCAAGCCAAGAAAATAAAAAAAGCAGAAAGTAAAATTCAAAATTTCTAGCAGTCACCGGTGCTTTTACTTGAAATATCTGTAGGCTCCAGAGCTAGATGTAACTGCTATTTCAAAGGTCTTATTATCTAAAATTACAATTGATATCACAACCATCCTGGTAATGGTGTTAGGCTCTCTGGGGGGGTCTAGTTTTTAAAGAAGTTTGAGTGAGGAGGAAGAGGGAACAGTAGCAGGAACAATGGCAGAAAACCCAGATGACAGACACACTTTAAGTACTTGCCAGACAACTGGCTGTCTTTGTGGCTACTACGTCCGTGTCAACTCACAAGTCACAAGCCTAACTACAAAGAAGTATGTTACACACTGTCTTTCAATACATTACAGAGTTCCTGTTTCTCATTAGCCAATGCCCAGTTTTACTGCAACAGACGGACTATTTACTACTTAGCATCTGGAAGGAGACAGACTAAAACGTGCCCATACATTCACGTTAACAGTTTACAGCAGGTTTGTTACTACCAAAGGTTATAATATCAGTCAAAGAGAGACCAGATGTACAGCAGCAGATTTCTGAGAATCACTGTTGACTCTCCAGGGCTAACCATGACGATCCTCAGGCTAATGCTTATCGCAGTTACTTTAGAGTCTTCAATGTACTTATAGTGAAAGGACTAGGAGTATAAGAACCCAGGTTATATTATAAAACTTTCACATTTATTGATATTGCTAAATTTATCTTATCTGTATCAATATAATCCTACGTATCTACGCATCTCTCTCTCTCTCTCTCTCTCTCTCTCTCTCTCTCTCTCTATCCATCTACCCATACTATCCTATCTGTGTGGCTGGAAATTGACCCTAGGGTCTTTGGCATGCTATGCAAATACTACTACTAAGCTACATCCCTAGCCCATTCTTAAATGTAATTAAACTTCCTTCTCATGTTAAGATAGAAGTCAATGAGTGAAGCGGCCCATGGATCACATGGTTCTTTAACTCGCTCCCCGGGAAGAAGCACCGTTTCCTCCTTTCCTGGAGACCTAAGGACTTCCCTTTGTGTCGTCATGGCTTACAGGGTTAGTGCAGACAGCACCTGTGTTAGACACAGACAGCAGTTTTACCTCAACTAAAGACTCGTACTTAAGGAGGACATGCTTAACTTCTAGAAGATCCAAAGCAGTGAAAGCCATCCTGAGTAATGCACTTGTACGGATTATAGAATACACATATTTGCAATTTGAGAAAAAAATGCTTGTTCTGTTTCTAATCTCACAGAAAACCCTGAGTGGCATGCTGACAGGATGCAACACGTTCAGAATCCTCCGATATTCAAGCGAGCATACAAAAAGACAGGCTGCTTCAAATGGCGTCAGAATATTAAGACCAAGAAAAGATGAAAAAACAAAACACAACAAAATCCATGAGGTTCAAAGGGAAAAGTGCTGGGAGGAATTTTCTGTTTTAAGATTCTGCTCTTTGCATTAGGCTCATTGCTGTTAAAGCAACATGAAACAAATGTTTAAGAATGTCAGATTCAGGCAAGCAATTTAAAGAGACTATGACAAAATTAACTTCAGTGAAAAAAATGTAAACTCAATCTTAAAATCTATGAAGTTTGGTAACATCATGCCATTTTTCTATACTCTATACTACTGTAAAGAACTAATTTAAAAATATTTATTGTTGGTAGTTACTTGAGATGGTTAAACATACAGAATTTGAAGCAAAAATCTGTCAAATATTTGCTTTGAAGCAAGAGCCTTACGAGGTCATCCCAGTTGCCCCTAACCTTGCTCTATAGACCAGGCTGGCCCCTAAGATGAGCCCTGGCTCTGCTTTCCTAGCGCTGTATCACTACTGCATGTTAGCTACTATGCTAGAAATAAGAAGAAATGGAAGACACAGGCATATAAGCTAACGAGCCCAAAGATTTCAGGACTTCTACACTCTCTGTCAAAGTCAGAAATTGCAAGATTTCTATGCTACATGTGGTGGTGCACGCCTTTAATCCCAGCCCTCAGGAGGCAGAGGCAGAGGCAGGTGGATCTCTGTAAGTTCGAGGCCAGCCTAGTTTACACAGTGAGTTCCAGGACAGTCAGAGCTACACAGAGAAACCCAGTTTGGAAAGTCTATCCTCCCACAAGAGAGAAAGGTTTATCAATAAAAATCAAGCAGTGTCTAGGAGCCTCAATGGCAGCAGAAAACATGTCTGCAGAGACATCATTCCTGTGAGGTTTTTCTTTCACCTTGGCAAACGATGACAAGTAATTCACCTTAAGTGGTGGCAGTAACCTAAAGAAACTGTTCATTTAGATTTTTAGTATGTTTAGACTAAAAGAACAGTATAAATACACATTTCTAATAAACAGAATTTATCTCTCTGTTAACAAACTAGAAGACATGTTCCAAAGATTTATGCTGCAAATTTGCCTAAAATCCACTTAGCAATTAATAGTGAAAAGGGAATGCACTGTTAGACTCTAATATAAGAGAGAGTGGAATGGAGACTCTGCCAAGACATTTCTGCTACAAAGGAAAGAGAGAGTATCACTGAGCTCAGAGGATTTAGAATAGATAAGGGTACAAAAGCAAGCAGGGCTGCATGAAGAAAAAACATGAAGAAAACCCAGACCAGAAAAACAATTACCTCAGGTGATGCAAATCCTAAATATTCCCAATCCCAAGTTCCACCGGCAAAGCTACAAAGAAATTAGACACACTGTTTGATTAATTATCAGTACTGAGAGTATAAAACAAGACCCCTACCCTGTGAATATTACCTTCAAGGCTTATCTGCATATAACTTGCCAAACTAATGCACATCCAACTATTAAGATATAATTATGTTCATTATTTTTTCAATTCTCAGTTACTTTACACTTGTAAAAAATAATGGAGAAAATAAAAGGAGCCACGTTGTAGAAAAGTATTATGACTGGTTTCATTTTAATTTCGTAAGTATAAAAATACTTGCCCATAAATTTTTATACACAAACGAGGACAAATGCCTTTCTAGTGTTATAATTATAATAAAAATGGTTTAATTAATTGTAGTAGTAATTTAATTAAAGCAGTAGAAGTATGATATGAAATAAAATAACCAAACCACCTTCGATTTGAGGGATGAATTCAGATCACTTAAGTAGCCTTACAAATAGCAGATTTCTCACTTCCTATATAATTTCATATCCTCCCACAAAAATACAAATATGAACACAGCAGGCTGGCAAATTTTCCAAATTCTATCCCCTAAGATGTTTATGACTATCATTCCCACAGTCTCTCCATGTATTAAATTTGAAATGACATGTGAGACTACTCTGGATTATGAATAACCTAGACAAATTTACCCTGAAGAGCTGCACACTGGCAAACAAAATCATTCTGGAAAAAAAAAATGTACTAGGAAGAAAATACCATCAAAAAGAATTGAACATTTTTTTTAAGCTATCCATATTTTAAGTATAACATCCAAGAATATAAATGCTGGTTGGATAAAAAAAAAAAACAGTCCTGGCACTGGGCGCTCAAGCCAGTGAGGTCTCTACAGAGGACAAATTTTACCTGCGCCTGGGAGCATCCGGTGAGTCTGCAGGAGCAACACCACGAGCTACAGATGCCAGGAATTCTTGCCTTTTCTGCTGTACCAGGCATGCTGCCCTGATGATCTTGTGGCGGGGAGTACGAAGATAAGGCCTGTTGACTTTTTGGGCAAGGTCTTCAGTGACCATTTCTAGGTCTGTCTGTACGAAGGAGAAACAAGAGTTACAAGCTAAATGGGTTAGTAAGTAGATATAAAGTATATCTGGTTTTCTTTTGAAGTCTGAAATTAAATTTTGAAGCAATTTTCTATTTAACATGCTTTCTACTTTGTTCGTTTTTCAGGTTATGAAAGGCTGATTCTTTACGTCATCATAAATGCAAGAAGGCACTTATAACAAGTAGCAGTATAAATCACCACGTAGTGGAGAAAGACACCATTTAGAAGGAATTTGTCATTGCCTGCGTTGAAAACAAACAAAACAAGCAAACATCGAGCAGAGCAGACCCGGGGCAGTGCACAAGCTTGTGCTCAGCTGTGTGGTGCAGCCTATGTATACACGCCGGGGACTGTAAGACAGAGCAAGACTACCGTAGCCTTGAAAAAAATGCAAATATAAATCAGTACAGGCCAGCTTAAAAGTAGAAAACTGTGATGGCTTCCAACGAGGGGGTGAAACAGTGAGGCTGGGAGGTTAGTGACTGGCTTAGGAGTTTTTGTTTTAAATATGAAACTTTTCTAAGTTGTACTTTTAAAATAAAACGACAAAGATCAACTTTCTATTCAAGGCGATTTGTTTCATCTCTAAAGATAAAGCCTCCATTTTCATATAATAAGAAATAGGACACATTCTACCTTAACAAGTTTGAAATAAACTAAAGCTGTGGAAATGTTGCCCAGCCAGCAACTCATTCAAACTCACACTGACACATTTACAAACAAAGGAAATTTTACTTTATCAAAGGCAATTTTTCCTTTATTTAAAGCCATTTTGAAGTAAAAACAAAACTGTTTTACTACTCACACTTAAAGTAAGTCAAAACAATTTAAAATGGCATCTTACTTGCATTAGTTCAAAAATTTCTTTCTTTGTGCTTTTAGGTTCTAAGAAAAATCCATATGGATAAGAACACTTGAGGATGCGTCGAGTCTTTAGGAGAACGCGTACTGCATCTTCGATGAAAGTGGTGTCTGGACAGCCTCCTTCAGCTAGAAAGTAATTCAGTACAGTAAATGTTTTGCCAATACATATTTGGACTAACATAAAAGTCTAGATAAAAACTCACCCATGAAAGGCACAGACCCTGCAGCCCAGGAACCATGAATGTATGTATTTTCCTGGAATCTGTTCTTATAATATGATTGGACAGCTCTAGGTCACCCAAGGGTGCACTCTGTATAAAAACGGTCAGATTTACCCTTTTGCTGCTGAAGAATCTGTACAAATGCCTTTGCTAAATTGCTTGCTTAAAAAAATCTGATTATAATTCTTCCCCTCAAAAGCAATATTGTAAGGAAAATGATACTAAATGCTGAGGAACAACTGGATAACTAAAGCTAAAAGCCATCAGTGAGAAAAAAGAATGGAGCAAAATAAGGAGGAGAGAATTGTCTTAATAGCACTTAGATATCATAACATTTTATTTTTAAGCTGTAAAAAAAAAAATCATATAAACAAAAGGAAATAAAAACCATAGAATCCAAATAGAAGTGTTGCTGAAAGTCAAATTCGGCATACTTTAGGGACATACTACATATGGATGTGCAAAGAGACACGAAACACCCGAATATATCTGCATACACCATGTCTCTGGGTAGGTAGTGTCTGTGCTAGGAGATAAAAAGCAAAGGGAAACAAACACCCCTTTTGCCTTTCATTCTCATATATGTGAGATGTGTAAGAAGCTTTTTTTTTTTTCAGTTTTCAAGTGTTTTATCTTTTAATCTTCAGCTTTGCTATGCTGCTTGGAACATCTAGTACAAGTGAAAGCAATAATTTGCATGTACTGAATGTCTACTGTATGTCAGACACAGTTCTAAACATGGGCAAACACACATCTGTGAGACTTTCCTTCTAGCGTCACTGTGGACATTTGCAGAGTTTGTATTAGTACAGTAGTCATATACTCTACAGACCAATAATTAACAGGGACACCAGGTCAGTAGTGCCACTTGCCTCCACTCTAATTTGTTTAACTATTTTTACTGTCTTATTAGAAAACTATTTTCACAAAAAAATGAGTGGAAATTATTTTATGCACTGAGACAATTGTAGAAGACCACATCTTTATGTTTGAAATGTGCCACATACATAGAATGATTTCTTCAAAAACAAGCCTATCAGAACTTCTGCTCTGTAGCAGACACGGACACAGTGTCCTAATGAGGAGCGACAATCCACCTATAGTTAGGAATTATTTAATGTCTAATTTTCAATTCGGATCTTAAAATTAGGCCTTCTCAAACTTTGCTTTTTGAGCTCGATTCTTGCTAAGCTCTATTTCATGTCCGGAGCAGCTCTGGGTATGCTTGCTCCTCCTAAAAACCTTCAGGACCCATTCACTGTGCCAACACTACAGCACCAGTGGTGGCACAGAGGAAGTCAAACTCTAGTGTGGTTCTCTCGGGTAACAGCAAAGGCTGCGTGAGGAGAAGCCTGGCAGATGATAATCATCTGCTTGAATGCATTCAGGGCTTAAGAGAGCTTAGGACAGTGCTAGAAGCAGCTCATGGATCCACTGCCCTCCTTCAGGGGCCTGCCCACCTACCACTGAATTGACTTAGCAGATGCATGCATATGGACACACACACTTACAGATACAGACACACATACAATACATACATAATTGAGAGAGAGAACTTACTTTCTTTGAGAGCTCTACTCAATTGTTCCATCTTTTCTTTGGCTGTTTTAAGAAGGCGTTGTTCTAACTAAAGGAACAGAAATACACAATTTTAAAAATCTTTATTTTTTTTTTTTTTAAGGCAAGGTCTAGTGAGACCCTGTCCTAACTCAATGTCTTAGAATTCACTATGCAGACCAGGCTGGCCTTCAACCTACAGAGATCCAAATGTACCCAGCCTCTGTATTTAAAAATGAGTATTTTAGCTCATTTGTAATAATTTGGGACATACCTGATAACTATGCTCATGGTTTTTATATCTTGTGTAATAGTGCATAAATCTGTCAAGTTCCTGAAACCGTTTATGTTTCTTCTCAGCCTAGGAAACAAAAGTACATAAATGACTTAAAGGGATTATTTTGGAGGGATTAACATTTCATTAGTAATGGGTAGCAATGCATGCAGCTGTATCTATGATTTTGTTGCTAGAATATTATGATCAATACATTTTGAAGGTACCAGTTTGTATTCTCTGTGATAAAACAATAGACACCTGACTCTACACCTTCAGTGCTTCCTGCTTTAGATAGATTTGTATCCCTCCAAAATTCACACTGAAGCCCTAGCCCAAAATGTGACTTGTATTTGGAGACAGGACCCATGAGGAGGTGACGGATTAAGTGAGGCTGTTATTACAGATCTATCTAAATGGAAATGGACACCACAGATCTCTTACTCTACTTCCTAGATAGCATGATGACAAAGTCCAGGAAGTGGGGTCCTGTTGGCAGGCTGATGAGTTAGAAACAGTCAGGCGGAACTTTTCTCAGACTTCATAGTCACCACAATGGAGAAAAACATTTGTGTTGTTTAAGCTCTCTAGGCTAGGGGACTGGAGAGGTGGCTCAGTGGTTAAGAGCACTGGCTGCTCTTCCAGAGGACCTGTGTCTGATTCTCAGCACCCCCATGGTAGCTCACAACCATCTGTACTCCAGCTCTAGGGGATCCAATGTCTTGACCACAGAAATCATGTATGTACAGATGGTGCATAGTCATACATACAGGCAAAACACCCATATACATAAAATACATTAAAAAAAATTCCATCTGGGCTATAGTAGACAAGCAAAATAAGACAACTGTGGGGGCTGGAGAGATGGCTCAGTGATTACGAGCACTGCCTGCTTTTTCAGAGGATCCAGGCTCAACTCCCAGGACCCTAATGACAACCTACAACTGTCTGTAACTTCAGTTCTAAGTGATACAACACTGTCTTCTGGTCCTGTGAGCACCAGGCAGGCATGTACACAGTGCACAAACATGTATCCAGGCAAAACACATTAAAAAAATTCCCTCCTGGGGCCTAACTGGAAAAAAAAAGATACAAGTACACTATAGTATAATATTATATTGCTGGTATTATGTTAAAAATGGTTTTAAATCTTTACAAAGGCAGGCTACGGTTGGATTTTTCATATCTTTATCAAAATAAAAAAGGAAGTATCAAAAACAAAAAAAAAAGAAAAAAGCCTCCAATGTACAGCTTTTTTGTTTAAAGGGCACTTGAAAGTGTATTCAGTGTAATGCCTTATCACGATGAAGACAGGAGAAGACACGCAAACCCCTCCAACAGTAGCTGAGGCGAGGCTATGGTTTAGGCGGATGTTACCTCCACAGTCATTTCCTTGGATTGCTCTTCTACATGCTGAATGACTTCATAGCGAGTACATCTGTAATAACCTCCAGTGGAAGAACTATGTTTTTTCCATTCTTCTAAGCAAATCCAGCAAAAGTCGTACTTGCACTGTAAAAGGAAACACATATGCAGACATCTCCATATATTAAATAAAAATTCAGCCAATAAGCAGATCATAATTAGAAGATAATGATAAAAGTATAATATGAAATTCCACATTTTTATTATTATGGGTTCTGTGTCAAAAAGATCTTCCCATTCCAAGTCTGGAGTCCTCGGGTTCATTTATTTATTTTGAAACTTTTTTTTTTTTAATTTTATTTTTTTCTTATCAGTTACATTTTATTAACTCTGTATCCCAGCTGTGTCCCGATCCCTCATTCCCTCCCAGTCCCTCCCTCCCTCACCTCCACCGTGCCCCTTGCCAAGTCCACTGATAGGGGGGACCTCCTCCCCATTCATCTGATCCTGTTTTATCAGGTATCTTCAGGACTGGCTGCAAAGCTCTCGGAAAGGAAGAGGTCAAAGTGTCACTATTCGCAGATGATATGATAGTATATATGAGCGACTCCAAGAATTCAACCAGAGAACTCCTCCAGTTGATAAACACCTTCAGCAAAGTTGCAGGATACAAAATCAACTCAAAAAAATCAGAAGCCCTCCTGTATACCAAAGACAAAATGGCCGAGAAAGAAATTAGGGAAACAACACCCTTCACAATAGCCACTAACCACATAAAATACCTTGGGGTGACACTAACCAAGCAAGTCAAAGACCTGTTTGAGAAAAACTTCAAGTCTCTGAAGAAAGAAATTGAAGAAGATCTCAGAAGATGGAAAGATCTCCCGTGCTCATGGATTGGTAGGATTAACATTGTGAAAATGGCCATCCTACCAAAAGTAATCTACAGATTCAATGCAATTCCCATCAAAATACCAACTCAATTCTTTACAGACCTTGAAAAAAAGATTCTCAGCTTCATATGGAGAAACAAAAAACCCAGAATCTCCAAAACAATCCTGTACAACAACAGATCATCTGGAGGTATCTCCATCCCCGATCTCAAGTTGTACTACAGAGCAATAGTAATAAAAACTGCATGGTATTTTGAAACATTTAAACCTTGGGTAAACTCAGTGAAAGCAGTATAAACTCAATTTTAGAGCTGTCTAGCTATTTTAATACTATGTACTGAATACTTCTTATTTCTCCACTGGTTATACACTGTCATTAGCACACACTAAACCTCGATGTATGCATCTGTATCCTAGGCTTGCTTTATATTCTGTTTCACACTCCGTGTATCCACATGCCAGCAGCATAGTGTTTCAACTACTGAGGCTCCATGGCACATTATCTTACGAGGCTACTTTTCTCGTACTGTTGTTTTTCAAATTTTTCCTAATTAAGCTTTGATCTGCCACAGGAACACGTGAATAAAGTTCACAGATGCAGAAAGACAACCTGCTGGCATTTTTGTTTGCACTTTTTACGAGCTTATATTTCTACTTGTTACATTAAGTAGAGGTTATATTTCTACTTGTTTGGTATCTCTTTTGCCTTAAAGAGGATTTAAGAACATTTCCAACAAAAGCCTTGCATATATCTGAATTTTTTTTCCCTAGATTCAGAAGGTCCCTGTATTTCCTCTAGATGTTGCCAGGAGGCATGAGGATTATTCTCTGCAAGTTATTTTTGTATGTTGCTACTAAGCTGAATTTTTACTGCTAGGAGTAGGTTTTCAGTTGATCCATATAGATTTTCTAGGTATAATCATGTCATCTGTGAAAGTGATAGTTCTGTTTTGGTTCTGGGACAGAGTCTTGCTACATAGCTTAGTCAAGCCATGCACTCATAGTCCTTCTACATTAGCGCATGGCATGCTGGGATTACAGTACACAGTACACAGATTATACAGCCAGTACACAGAGCTTTAACTTACAGTCATTTTATTACTGTATTTTATAGGTTTAACATTTCTCATTTCTTGTTCCTGATTACTTCTGGTTTCTATATTAAATAGTCTGATTCTCTAATTCTCTTTTCCCCTTTTATTGTATACTTGAAATCTTTTTATATTAACTCCCTGCTTTATTATATTAACCCACTCTTTTACGATAGTTTTTCTTCAGCTAAGATTTGTTGCAGATTTCTTGCTATATTGGTCATTACTTTAAAAAATTATTTTCTGTCTTAAAAATGTTTTTACTGGTGCTTCTTAATTTATTTTTTAAAAAATTTGAATCACATTCTCAATTTATTGTTTATTTTGCACTGTTTTAAGTTATCTAGACTATCCATATTTCTGCATGGTTGTAGCTATAGCACTCAGGCTCTGATAAAGTAGTATTTTAATTTCCCATGAATTCTTAGATTTCTTTCTGGAATTATTTAAAAGACTAAAGAGTTCCACGGTCTTTTAATAAATCATAATTAATTTTGAATTTATTCTCTGTGACCAAAAATACTACTTGTACTAATTTTTATTTTCTTTGATTATAGTAATTATATTTAAAATTACTGATTAAACAGACAACACTTAAAGATTATTACTGTTTTTCTCTTATGATCAATGTTCTATTGGGAGGGTCACTGTTGCATAAGCACTTAAAAGATGACACTGTTAATATTTTCAGGAAATAATCTGAATATATACATATAAAATCACATCTATCTTATTAATTATAATACTTGTATATATTCCTATCTGTTTACTATTTTTTTGGTCTCCTTATAGTCATGGAATCATGAATTAAACTCTTCACATTCATTTATCACTTAGCATGCACTTATTCAATAAGCTGTGAATTTGTTTTAAAAGCTTATTTAAATTTTTTTGGTTGATAAAAGGCAAACTTTATGCTTGCTTTGATACAAATACCCTGTGATGTGGCTTTATCGATTTCTCAAAATTAATAGCAAAATGCTGATAAATCATCTAGACATTAGCAACTATGGTAGAAAAAACACAATATAGAACCTTATTAAGACTTTTACATGCTAATAATTTTTTGTTTTAATACTAGTTTTCTATAATGTCAGATGAAGGAAATTTCTGTAAGTAATTTAAAAGATTTAAGAATGAAAGATTTACATCCAAGTGAGGTAACCCAGAGACAGAAAGACAAACATGGTATATATTCATTTCTTAGTGGAATTAGCTGTAAAGTAAAGGATGACCATGCAACAATCCACAGACCCTGAGAGGCTAAGTCACAAGGAGGGCTCCAGGGAGGACAGATGGACCTTTCTGTGAAGGGGAAATGGATTCTGTGGGTGAACTGGGGCCAGGTAGGGATGGGAACAGGATGGGGGAGGATGTAGGAAAAGAGAATGGGGAGAGACAACAGGAACTGGGGGTATTTGGGAGACGATAAGAAAACCTACTGCAGCGGAAACTCCCTGGAACCTATGAGGATGCCTAGTTAGTAATGGAGGTCCTGGAACTAGAGCTGGCCATCTTCTGTAACTATGCAAGGCTTGTAGCAGTGGGCCGAGGACACCAACCCAGTCACAAAAACTCTGACCTACAACCTGTCCTAGCTGCAAGATGTGCTGTGGCAATGGACAGACATGTTGGGGTGGCCAACCACTGAACAGTCTGACTTGAGGTTCATGTCACAGGAGGAAGTTCATGCCTGACACTGCCTGGATGGCCAGGGACTGGAAGCTGGAGAGCTCAGGGACCTACAGTAGAACTGACAGGCCTGCCCTTTCCCTCCCTGCCACTCCGTCAAACCAATGAAATGGTTCCTAATGATCTTCTGCTATACTCATAGATCAGTGCCTAGGCCACCTGTCATCAGTGAGGCTTCCTCCAGCAGCTGATGGGAGCAGACCCACAGGCAGACATTAGGCAGAGAAAGAGAGAGAGAGAGAGAGAGAGAGAGAGAGAGAGAGAGAGAGCCCAAACTGGAGATCTCCACTGGGTCCTTTCCTTCAAAGGTTGGGAAGTCTCTCAGAAAAGGGGGGAGGAAGGTTGTAGAAACCAGAGGGGTCAAAGACACCAGGAGAAGGCAGCCCACTGATTCAACTAAGTAAGGCTCACGGGGGCTCACAGACAGGGAAGCAGCAACTATGGACCTTGCATGTGTCAGTGCCAGGTCCTCTGGCAAACATTCTGTGGTTATTTAGCTTGGGGTGTTTGTAGGATTCCTAACAATGGGGGAAGAGTGTCTCTGACTCTTTTGCCAGCGTTGGGACCCTTTCCCTCCTACTGGGTTGTTTCATCCAGGCTTGATGAGGGTTTGTGCTCAGTCTTATTGCATCTTGTTATGCCATGTCTGGTTGATATCCCTGGGAGGCCTGCTCTTTTCTAAAGTGAAACAGAGAAGCACTGGGCAGAGGGGAGAGGGGAGGTGGGAGATGGTAACTGGGAGGAGTGGAGGGACAGGAGGCTGCTGTTGGGATATATTACATGAGCGAGTAATAAATTTTAAGAAGGTTTGTTTTATTTAAATGTGTACATGTACCTGTGTTAGTATATGCACATGTATATGTGCTTGGGTTCACATGCCTGTAAAGGTGCTGGTTTCTGTGCAGGCGAAGAAGGCAGAAGATGTTGGAACCCTTGGAACTGGAGTTATGCGCACATGAAGGAGCCTGGCTTGTCCCATCGGTGCTGGGCCCTGAAGCCCAGCCGTCATTATTGCACAGCAAACACTCTTGCTCTCTGACCCATCTGTCTATTCCCCTACGACTGAATACCAGACCTCAAGAAGCATTGGATGGTGATAGGTGCCTAAGAGCAGCTAGCCAGCAGGTCTTCTTGGTCACTAGACAGGGTCAGGGTGTTCCTGGGGGCTCAGGAGAGGGAGCTGGTGATCCTCCGTGACAGCCTACAGCTCTTTCCTCAGCCATTAGGGCCAAATCTCCTAGAGACTCACAAGTCCAACCAGGGACAACAGGAGGAGCTTGGAGTCGAAGGAGGAGGCTCAGTGGGTCTAGAGGAGATCCCTTAGGCCACCAGGGCCTCCTGAATTCCACTGTCAAACCATGGAGGAACTAGAGGATAAAAGAGATGGGGTGGAGTAGAATGGGTAGGATTGTGATACAGTATTCTAATTAAAAATGAAAAAACAAATTAAAAATTTTCTAAGGGGAAATGAAAAAGTGTTTTTTAAAAAAATAAATTAGTTTATTTTCAGAAGAGCAAACATGCCATTCTTTTAAAATGCTTAACACACTGGATTTCAGACACTGCTACCTGTCTATTAAACCACAACCTACACTGAAGCATCAACAGCCCAGGCAGGTTATGAAGTTGTCTGTGTCACAGCGCGGATTCACCTTTTCATGACATGTTATTTAATAAAACACACTTGAAAACACTCGAAGAGGATTCAATCGTGCGCACTACGGTTACTGCCTAGGTAAAAACAAGAACACTACTTTTCAGTTTTCTCTTGTTTTTTTGGAGACAGGGTCTCGTGTAACTTGTGTGGTCTAGAGACTGTTATGTAGGCCAGATTGGTCTTACAGATAAACCGCCTCTACCTACAGTGATGGGATTAACGCCATGCACTACCATGGCCAACTTAGTTTATATTTTCAGCTTGAACAACTCAACAGTACACTGAACAAGGTTCTTACATTTACAGAACTTATAAATAAACATTTGCTTTAAATCCCAGAGAATCTCAAGCAACATCTGCTTAAGTTAGTACCTTAGTATTATCAGCCTGATTAATTCTTGAACATGTTCCTCCAGTAATCCGTATTTATCAAGTACTCACTACTGTGCCATGAAGGACAGAAAGGCAATACTGGTGTTTACCTCAACAGCCAGCTGCTGATTGTTTATGGTCAGTGTACACTTCTGTGCACATTTAGGAAGTCTACATCACATTTGCTAAGGACAAAACCAAATAGGGAGTTGGAGATGAGAGCATAATTAGAAAAAATAATTATGTTTAGGCCTTAGCTGAACTAATAAGTACTTTTGAGTAATTTTCTCAGAAAATAGCAATAGGCTTTTTTCCCTTCTGCCCCGTAGGGAATCACTGTTGCCTTTAAGAAGCACATATCTTTACATTAATTTTACTATAACATAAACTTGCAAGATAATTTTGTAATTTCCATTTTTTTGTAAGTTATAAATGATCACCAGCTTAAGGCGAAAAAAATTAAGTAATTCTTAGAGCAATGTTAATATATTTTATTAGTCTTAGCTATTTTAATTTTTTTCATATTTTAAATGAGAAAAAATTATATTGTCTTAATGTTTTAAAACACCACTTAAAAAACATACATGGTCCTTCCAAAAAAGGGAAAGATGAGAGTATTTCTACAGTTTTAAAACAAGACACTGAAATACATATATGAATTAATAAAATATTAACCTAATTCCAAGAAATTTTTTTTAAGTGCAGTAGCTTCTTTTTCTACAATTAAATCAGGAGAACACACAGACTTCCTTTCAATCCCCTAAAGGTTTCAGCCAAGTAGATCTCTGTAGGCATTTTAAGTTTTCAATGTAGTAATGAACAGAATTATGTATTTATTTGATGGCTTTATTAGCAGAATACCATCTTGTTTTGTAGTACAAACTAAATTAAGACTTTAACTACAAAACATGGAAACACATTAGCATCTTACCTTGGCGCACTGCATGTGATTGCAGCCTTCATTCTTCTGTATTGGAGACTTACAGTTCGCACAAGGCTTGGAGTTAGTTAACAACCACAGACAGTTGGCAGCATCCTCATAGGCTTCACTGACTCCAACAACTTTGAGATATTGAGCACAAACATCAAAATATATGATTTAAGCACACAATTCCAGGCGGGAGGGAACTAGACTTTGCAGGCTGTCTCTCCAATTGTAATTATGCATTTACTGTCCCTATTAGTGTCTATGGCTAAACTTTTAAAACTACTCCATTTTCAATAGTATAAGGAGTTCTGTTCCATAGTCTTAGAAAACCTGTAGTTCTCCTGCCTGGGGGCTCTCTTGCAGCAGCCCAGGAAGTTAGGAGGGACTGGAGTGAGAACCTTACAGGGATCACACACCCAGGGAACAGCTGATGGCTAGTCCAACTTTACTTCCAGAGAACAAAGAATATATACTCCTAGGGGAGTGGTTAGGGGGCTACAAGAATAGAAACTAGGTACTTCAAGGATGCTTGATTTGCATATAGATAAGCACAAGGAGGGCACAGCTAGCAGAAAGCTGTGTCAGAGGCCTTGTATCAAGGGTGGCTAGGAGACTCTACAATCTAAAGGCACTCTCCAGATGAAGTCAGGCAGTGAGCAGGGGACCCAGTTGAGGGGAGGGAGTTCAGCCTTTAGCACAGAGCTTGCTCGAAATGGCTATCCGGTCCAGGGAAGAACTGCAACCTCAACCAGCTAAGTACCTCCAACAAAAACCCACTTGAAAATAAATCTCTGTAAATACATGCAAATAAACTAGAGAAGAACCAAAGAGTATTTTTATTTTTAAGAGTAAGTGCTTTGATTAACTAAAGTAACCATTATATTTAAGAAAATTATAGAAAGAATGATTACCTTGGACCAGTGGTTTTCAACCTGGAGGTCGAATGACCCTTTCCAAGGGGTTGCCTAAGACCATCACAAAACACATATTTTGGATGGCCTCAGGAACTGAGATACTGTTCCTCTATTTGTCTCCAGGCAGGTCTGCCCATATGTAGGCACACCCATAGACAAGCACCCGAAATGTATTATAGGGTCACAACATTAGCAAGGTTGAAAACCACTGTGCTAGACTATAATTCTCTGTTAGACTTTCACTTTTGTGTGTGAATGTTTTGCTGGCATGTATGTATCTGCCTGGTGCTTAGAGATACCAGAAAAGAGTGTTGCAATCCTTGGAGCGGAAATGTAGCTGTTGTGAGTGTCTTTGTGAATTTGAGATCCAAATCCAGATCCTCTGCAAGAGTAACGAGTATTCCTAACCAATCTCTCCAGCCCCTCAACTATAATTCCTTAAAATAGGCTACTGCAAACAAAATTATCAGGAATTCTTTGGAGTGGAAAACATTAAATACCAACATCTGCTTTGTGAGACAGAGCTTGCTATGCTATGCACGGTCCAAGCTACCTGCAAACTCAGAATCTGGCTCTCAGCCGCCAGAGTGCTACAATTACACACAAGCACCACTTTTCTTCTTTAAAAATCTATGGTTATTTCAGATAAATGAATCCAATGGGATATGCCTAAAACTAAGCATCATTTCTCAGATTGGTTTCTCTTTATTTAGTCATCTAGAGAGTTCAGTCTCAGTCTCTGAGGAGGACTAGCTTCAGCATCCTCACTAGGACTAGCTTCAGCTCACTCCAGTACAGCACTACATCACTAATTCCATTCCTCACTCTTTATTTCCTCTCTATCCCCACTTTTTGTTGTTTTAGCGAAGGTCCTCCATATATCTTGCCAAGACAACAGAAACAGAAAACCAACCCCTCTCTCCAGTTCCTTCTCCCTTCCACCCTCAACAATACTGCCTACACAGTGATCTTTTGAAAAAATTCTGCTTAAGAACTTTCATTTGCTTCCCCTTGACAGAGGGCTACAGAGAAAATCAAATCACTTTAGTAAGCAGTGTGAAGTCCTTCATGACCTGACCCATTAATTTGGCAAGCTTCTCAAAGGGATTAGGGCTATGTGCCTCAGTACTTGCTCTGTACTAACTTTATAAACTTCTCCTTAAATTCAATTTACTCTGCTGTAATTTGAGATCTGTATCTTAAGAAATGCCACAGTTTTTAAAATTTCTAAACATTTCATTTTAACTGCTCTCTAGCAATTTAAAAAGTAAAATTTAAATTTGTTTTTCCTATAAGAATGTCAGGAATCTGTAAGTTTTGCCTTCTTTTCTACTTCTACAGTATATACTTTTGTAGTATCTACAACACTACAGCCCTTTTTGCTAACTATAAAAATACTGGCTTTTAATTCTACACAGCAAAGAGAAGCAACAGCAGTAGTGAGATGACCGGGCCATGCCAGTTTCTACTTGAGAGAAAATGGTTGGTGGCTCACAGCACTTGGCAAGAACAGAATCTGAGAAGGAACTCAGTATGACAGTGTGGTCAGGCTGTGGACTCAATACTGCAAACCTAAACATACTTAAAACATCTAATTCTTGTTTAAAAGAAGGGGCCTTTCTTCTCTTTTCAACATCAACATTATTTTTAGTTTAGAGGCTGTAGCATATTCTTATAAGCTGTATTGTTCATTGTTGTACTAAATAAAGCACAAAGCCACTAAAACAAAGCCGCTGTGTGATGCCCAACATAGCACTTTTCTTCTGCTCTTGGAGAGAAGGCTCGCTTCTAACTGCACTCTAGGAGAATATATGATGGCAATTATGCTTAGGGATCGACCAACTACAGTTACGATAAAACTTCAGGGGAAAGGCCTGCACTCTCCGTTCTCTGAATCTGCTTTGTGCATCTTCTTTGAAGCTGCCTTCTGAACACTTGTGATGCATGTCCGTCCAGGGAGTCTTCCTACCCACACTGACTTTCACTCTCCTCAGTTACATGTCTAATACAGCTTGATCTTGTTTTCTTAATAATTTGATGTGTTAGGGTCTTGTGAGTGTAAGAGAATCTCAGCCTGTTTAGTGGAAGGGAAATGTGCAGCTGGTGCTCACAAACATGCACATCCTTCCATATGACGTGCATACAGATCTACACATACACTTGAACGCTGCCTTTAAAGGCTGGTTAAAAAACAACACATTTGAATTCTAGTCCATTGCCAATCGTTTAGAGAACATATTTTACAAATTTACCATTTTATCACAGACAGTAAAAACACAACAGAATCAATTTAGTGCTTTAAAAGACTAATCAATTGTTTATATGGAATCCTCTGAACTGAGTTTCACTATATTTCTAAGATTTTTTCTCATGAATTTGATTGTGTCACTTCTTTTGAATTTCATAGACTTGCATACAGTGGCCTGCAAGTAACCCTTGAATGTGACACAGTAGAGTGAGCAAACTCCTAAGCTTCTCTTGGAACCTGGGACTTTGAGTGCAATCTTAGCTTTGGTTAGTTCTACTTTGTTAGGTACTTGCCAGGTGAACATTTTTTCTTCTATCTTGTTTTCTAATGTTCTTCCCATGTTTCTGAATCAAAATCTCATTTGGACAATTCAAAGGTAAAATTTTAATTCATCATGCATCCATTTGCCAGTCTTACACTTCTTTCTTCCTCTTAACACAGGATCCTGATCACATGCAAGAGTGTTCTTTCCAGGTTCATGGGTACCCCCTTCTCAAGCCAAGGATCTTACCCCTCCTTCCACAGTAGAAACTGTGGGCCTGGAATAACTGACCCCAGTTTTAATATGGTAAGGGGCACTACTGTGCTGTCCTAACTGAAACGCTGCCTCTGGAGGAAGACAATTCAGGAAGAAGATGAAATTTACAAGGTTCTGGGAACTCCTGAAAGTTACAAGACTCACAAGGCCGTGTCCCTAAGGTTCTATCAGAAGTAACACCTGTTGAGCTGTGTCCAAGCTGTCCAGGAACTTCAGGAACACAGCTGAAGTCATCACAAGCTGGGGTGAACTTTCTCATGATACAGCTGCCTGTGAGCCCTCCATGCTCCTGTTAGTAACCCCCGCTCCCAAAACAAACAAAACAAAAAACCCTACTGGTTCACTGAACTAGACTGGGTGGAATTGTTTCTTTGGTCTGTCATAGGTGCCCGGTCTGGGCTGAACACACATCTGTTCATATCTTCTCAGGAAACATTACACAAAGAATAATACTAATTACAAACGTACCAATAGTAACTCTAAGAAAGAAAGTGAAAGAATTATATGATAAACACTTTAAGACATTAAAAAAAAAAAAGATGATTATCAGAAGATGGAAAGATCTCCCATGCTCATGGATCAGTAGGACATAGTAAAAATGGTCATCCTATCAAAAGCAATCTACAAAATGCAACCCCCATTAAAATTCTAACACAATTATTCACAGATCTTGCTGGGTATTTTTAAGCTTCATATGAAACACACACACACCCAGAACAGCTAAATCAATCCTGAATAATAAAAGAACTGCTAGAGATACTACTATTCTCAACTTCAAATTATATTAGAGATATAGTAATAAAAACAGCATGTTACTGGCACAAAAGCAGACATTGATCAACGGAATTGAACTGAAGACCCAGACATAAATTCACATACCTATAAACACCTGATTTTCATAAAGAAGGCAGAAATACATACTGGAAAAAAGATAGCATCTTCACCAAATGGTCAAACTATGTGAGTGAAAGTTTAGAAAGCCAAATGAGCTGGTTACACTACAGATTACATGACTTTTCCTAGGCGGGGGTTTATTTGCATTCAATAGAGAAGACGTCAGACCAAAATAAGAATACTCTCCAGCCAGGCCCGGTTTGACGGACCAACGTGTTTATAGGATCATTTACAGGGGCGTAGGTGACTCAAGGGCAGCTGCATCGCCACAAAGGCCAGGTAAGCATGGGTGATGACTCAAGAAAGCTGCATCCCCCAACTTCTCCTGCAGCAGGAACATGTAATCATTCCCTTGCAAGTGTGCTGTGGTGGTCTCAATCAGAAATGTGGCACTGTTTGGGGAGGCTTAGCTGGTGTGGCCTTGCTGGAGGGAGATGTCAGTGGGGCAGGCTTTGAGAGCTTTAGGCCTTGTCCTATTCCCAGTTCATTCTCTTTGCTTCATGCTTTGACAATATGAAAACTGAGCTTGTTGCTCCAGCTGCCACGTCTGGTGCTAGCTGACATGATATGCCACCATGCACACTTAGCTCTCTGGAACCCTAAGAACAAAGACACTCTTTCTTCTCTTGTTTGCTGAGGGTGCTTTACCACAGCAATAGAAGTAACTAACATACAGCCTTTAAAAATATTTTCCGTATCAAACCACATACTTAGGCCATATTCTGTTTCATACTGAAATAGTATGCTAGACTAATTATATCTTGTAGCATAGCAATCTTCTAGGCAACTAGGAAGCATGCTAGATTTAAAACAATGACACTGCATTTTCTTTATACTCCCTTGTCCACTTAAGCCTACCTCAATCTCTCATCTTGGTAAGCCCTCACACCCTTTTATCTGGATATTGTGTAGTCGTCTCAGATAGGATGTTCTCACCTACCAGAATGTCGCCTCCAGTGTGGCTTGAACAACCTAAGTGAGCATCTCACGGTCATCAGTCGATTAAAACTCCTTTCAGGGCTGTGGACAGCCCCGCTTGCTGTACTTCTTTTCACCTGGTAATGATCTGAACTATTGCCAGCACAGCTCCATCTCACCACAGCATCCTGTACTGCAGTAATGAATTTTCAGCCCTTGACTATACCATGCTGTTTCACAAAGCTACTTCACCCTGTCCCTTAACATGCTTCCTATTTTGGTTCACAAGAAGAACACTGACATGGTTTTAAATATACCATTTAAGCATCAAATCTGTTTTCCTCCCCTAGAGATGACTGACTCACAGGAACAATACTCTCACAAGTGTCACATATTTATGACACTTGTATTATTTAAAGCATAAATTTTAAGAGCATGAATGGTATCTAAATTTTATATTCTAACACAAACGATATTTAAATAAGGACATCATATAAAATAAACTTTTTCTTAGCATTTCTACTGAGCTTGAGGCAAGTAGTTCTATAATTCCACTGGACATCCACAGTCATTTATCCTGTAAATAACACACATTCAAAATGTCTACATCAAGGGCCATTCCTTTCCTAGGAAGTAATTTCTTTATCTGAATTTGCTAACTCTGACTAATAGTATAATGATCTATCTTGTGACAGAAATTTAAAACCTCAACTTCTCAACCACTGGTTTATCTGTCCTTCAAGCTACCCTTTTACACTTACTAGCTTTTCTGATAGAAATGTTTGATAATTTATGTCTTCACTTAAATAATGTACTCCCTGGCTTATTCTAGTAAGAGTAAGTGACATTCCAACTCAAGCAGGCAGCATAAACCTCAGGGATCTACAGTCCCGAGAACTAGCTTTCAGCAATGGGAAATTCTCTCCTATAACACAAGCCCCAAAGTCTCAGGGATGCCAGTCTATTTCTCCAAGTGACATTTCTGATACAAGCACAAATGCCTATACCATGCCTTTTTTTTTTTTTGCCTCTGGAGAGAAGCCCAAAATCAACTCATAGTTCCTTCCTTTCAGGCAGACCCCGTGACATCCCTTCTCCCTTCAATCCCAGTTAGCTGTTCTCACCTTTACCTAACTACACGCCATCATAAGCTTTATCATACTCTGACAGCTCCTCCTAGTCTCTGCCTTCCCTAAAGGCTAATGTCATTTTTACTGTATACCTTCCTCTGAAATATAGATTTATCAAGTGAATTTTTGATTCTGATTTGCAACACCTCAAACTAACTCCATCATCTAAAACACGTAAGAAGACCCTCACGAAATCTTCACTTACATTATTTAAATCTATATATTTATTTGTTAAATATGGAAATATTGTTATTGGGAAGTATGTAAAAAGGAATCCTTCAGAAATTCAAATCTGTTCTGTCACTTGATATATGCCCCATGTCACTCAATCCAAGTGCCATCTCATCTGTACAATGGGATTGCTAACATCACTTCATATCCTTTCCGTGATGGAGCAGAGATGATGTATTTATAGAAGTTTCATATCTGAATCAACTAAGCAGGGCTCACATGGGCTCCCAGAGATGGAAGCGGCAAGCACAGGCCTGCATGGATCTGCACCAGGTCCTCGGCATACACACTGTGGTTGTTTAGCATACAGTGTCTGTGGGGCTCCTAACAGTGGGAGTGGTGTGTCTCTGACTCTGTGGCCTGCTCTTGGGACTCTTTTCCAATTGGGTTGCCTTGTCCAGCCTTCTCCAGGCTTTTGGCTCGTCTTACTGTAGTTTATTTTGTTGTGTTAGGTTTTCTCTTAGAGGCCTTCTCCTTTCTGAACGGAAAGGAAGGGGAAGAGGGAAGGTAGGGCGAGAGGCTAGGAGGAGTGGAAGAAGGGAAAACTGTGGTCAGTATCTATGAAACGAGAGAAGAATCTATTTTCATTAAAAAAAGAAAATATTTTAAGAAAAAGAAAAAAGAAGTCTCAATGTTTAAATAAATACATACAACCACAGAGTAGCAACAAATTAATTTCTCTTACTGATCACTAGAAGTCTCAGGGAAATAAGCTTTTTTTTTTTTTTTTTTTTTTACTACAGACCATAAATTTTGTCCTATAAAGTAGAGAAAAACAAGCTGGCTTTCTCAAGGATGAAAAGGACTTCATGGGAGGGTTAAATATGACCCTTAGTTGTACCTTAGGTGTCTTGTTACAAGGGATGATATGCACATGATTTTGCCCTGTATAAACCCTCCTCCAAAAGGATCGAAGTGAGAAAGGCCATGCTGAACATGAGGCCTGGCATTAGCAAAACTGAAAATTCTTCTTAAATAAAGATTATGCAAAACATGACTGTCTTTTGAATGCCTATAGGAGATATGTAGCACAGCTCTGTAAAATTCCACTTACGTTCTTCTGGCTTCATTTCAGTTATTTTTTGTAGCCAATTTTTCCATGTTTGGCAGTCACAAGGCTCATGTGCTTCACCAAGGCACTCCCTAAGAGAAAAATCCAGAAAAGCCATTGAAAATTATTCCTCACCGCTATCTGGATAAAAACCATGATGGTAAATACGTACCCAATTTTAAAACTGAAAAAATTAAGGCACAAATAAGATATGAAGCATTTCAAAAGACAATTTGAAAATGAGAGTTCAAAGCTAAACAACTTCAGAACGATTTTTAAAAATCAGAATGGTTATACACATTAAAAGTCCCATGTAGATTATTTAATGTAACTTAGTTCTACAGTCTTAGGAGCAATAAAGTCCCTTTACTAACTGGCTGTTAGTCTCACTCAGACGTCTCCTTTGTGCTACTCAGGGTATGTTCTTCGTCAGCAACACTGCCATGGCCTTAGAGGCCTGTCAGAGCTGGAGAGCAGGCTGTACAAGATGTGCATCACCATGTGGGCCTCCTGTATTTTACAGTCTGAGAAGTAACTGTTCTCGCTTCATCTACCTGTGTCCACTCATCACAGTCCAGAGTCTGTGGACGGGGTTACAGACACCTGCTACCCACCAAGCACTTTGTCCACATAGCCATTTTCCCAGCACTACCAATCATATTTGCATAGTTACATTTACCTCCAAATTCTCTGGAAACTGCTAGTGCAGTTAACCAAAAGTTACTTTTATAGGCTCTCGGAAATTACATATAAATCACTGAAAACATCAACTTCTCATTTGTAACTTACATATATGTTCTTTCTATGAATATATTAGAATCCTACATCACTAATCACGTATTTTGATTCAACATGGTGCTATATTAAAAAGTGCCATAAGGGAGAGAAACTCCAAACGTGGACATGATATTAGCACCACCGCTACCACCTTTTAAAATAAAGATCTTATTTGTAAAGGTTAGGTTTGTTGAGAACTAAGAGGTAATATTTCACTATATTAAAAAGTACTGATACTGATTTTACTTCCTCTTTCATCATTATTACTGAAAACTAGAAATCGCAAGTGTTGGTGAGAACTTAAAACACTGGAACCTTCGGGCACTGTTGACAGAAATGCTAATGCTGATGTAGCTGTCTGGAGAAGAGCTTGGTGGTTTTCTATAAAGGGAAGCAGGATTATCGTCTAACTCAGTATTTTCATGCTCAGGTATTACATTATCCCTTGTTTCTCCCCTGTGACAAAGCAACACAATGACAGAAGGACCTTAGGGATGGGCAGGTCTAACTCTGGCCCCTGGTTTAAGCAGCGACTACATCCCGATGGTGGGGAAGGCGTGGAGGCTGGGGTCCCACCTGTTAACACAGTAGCAATCCACTTCCCCACTTCTCAGAGGCTCTACAATGCAGCTTGGGGTGAAGTGCTCTAATAAATGACCTCCATTTTGTTATGGGAAACAAGCCAGATTAAAGAAAAAAAGGTAAAAACTGCAGGATTTCACTGCTACTAAGTGTTGAGTAGATTAGTTCACAGAGAAAGTACAAAGCAACAACTATCAACAGTTGCTGGGGAGAGAAAGAGGAACGAGAGCTGCTTCATAGTTACAGAGACTCTGGGGATCATGAAAACGTTTTGAAAAAAGTTAAGAGGTGAGGCCTTATATCCCAGCACTCAGAAGACAGAGGCAGGAGAATCTCTGTGAGCTCAAGGCCAGCCTGCTGTACAGAGTGAGCTATAGCACAGCCAGGGCTACACAGAGAAACCCTGTCTCAAACCCAAACAACCAAACAAGCACGTGGGAGGTGGGAGTTGTACTCAGCAGTTAACACGATACTTTAAAATGCTGGGTTGTGTGAAAGCAGAAGTGCGCGTGTTATTATGCTCTGAGGTACAGACTCAGATCTGTGATCACTGCAAACTGTCACCATTAGAACATACAAACTTTCACCTCTAATAGCACACAGAAGCAAGGAGCCCGTGATAGCCCTGGATAGAAACAGTATTGCTATCTGGTGTTTGGGAATTCATGTGGGAATGTAAAACCTACATTTCTCACCATTCATTTAAAAAAAAAAAAAAAAAGCCTATGTGTTCATTATATCTTAAGAAAGCAGGAAAAAAATTCTAGGTTGTAAAAAGAAAAAAAAAAGGTTACACATCTGCGGTAACTAAAAGAAATGAGTGAAATCAATAAATATAAATTAGTTCTAGTAAGTTTTGGAGGTTCAACAGCATATCCACTATTTTATTCTAGAAGAATCAGTAATAGTATATTGGTCCTGCTGTCAGAATATAATCTGAGAGGAAAAACTCAATGCTCCCAAATAGAACCCAGAAAAGGCTGTAATGGCTTATCAATGTGCATGGCTCTGAGGCTGTGGTATTAGACAGCGACAGAAACTCTTCCTTTCCAGACTCTCACAGGACAAGGATCGCTGCTGCTTCAGGCGCCAGCACAGTCAGTAAGATTGTTTTGGGGTGTGATAACAGCTTGGTGGTTTCCTATGACTACTGAGAGTGGGTGTAAAAGCAGACACTTGTAGAAGCTACAGCAAAGACTGCAATGTAGAAAGTGAGCCACAGTTGCTATTTAATGCTATCTTGAGCACAAAGCATCAGAAAAGAGGTTTGGCCTCCAGAGCACTGTAATAATGGCTTCTAGAGAGTAGCTGGGTGATAATCTACATCACCGAAATCATGCTGCTGGTATCATAAACAAAATTCTTTAACATTTTTTTTATTCTCAGATATGGTTTTGCTGTATAAATGGCTAGCTTCAAACCTGTGATCCTCCTGTCTCAGCCTCCTAGCTTTACACTATCATACCTTGCACCTAAAAAAAGTTTTAATCGGTCTGGTATCAATTGAAACTGTATCTTAAGGTGTCCACAGAACATGGTACAGAGGAGAATCTTGGCTAGAGATACCAATAAAACTGATCTACCCAAGAAAGTGTATGAGCAAGAGGTTATAAAGAGAAATGTGCTTGCCTATTAAACCTTCACTCCTGGATGCTAACATAACATCAACAAAACAACAAACAACACTTTCTTGAAGATGCGACAATATGTACAACTGTTGGTAGGAATATAATATGGCCCCAAAAGGCTCTGAAAAAGGAAAAACCAAAAATTCTATTAAGAAGTTAGAAATTTCAGTTATATGGCATTACGGAACCTTAGTAATCACCCATATTGAGTGAATTTAGTGAGAATCACCGTTTTTATAATTATTTGCTGTTGTTAGGGTTCTGAGTCTTGAAGGCAATGTCCTAAATAACTGCATGTATGCACGTGTAAATATGTATGTGGGTCACAGCTTGCCACTGGATGCCTTCTGCTATCAATCTTCACTCTATTCTTCTGAGACAGGATCTCCTACTGAAGCAGGACTAGCTGTCTAACAAGTTCCAGAGTCCTTTGTTGGCTTGTCCAGGGGTAGGTTACAGGTACACAGCAGCACTTTGGGCTTTTTATTTGGTGCTGGGTATCTGACACAGGTCCCCTCATGCTTGGAAAGCAAACACACTGCTCAGGGAACCATCTTCACAATACTTTAGAATTGGTGTTACCTACCCCATTTTACATTCAGAGTGGTTCAGCATTCTTTCAAAAGTCAGAAAGTTGCTAAGTATGTGTTTTAACATGAAGCTTAAAGTTTGGCTCTAAGAACCCCTGCTGATGAGCCATCTCTTCAGCCCCAGGAGTCCATTTTAACCCAAGCTTCCTATTGCCATTAGGAAGACTGAAAAAAGTATGAATTATTTAAGTCAGCAGTTTTCAACCTCTGGGTTGAACAACCTTTTACAGGGGTTGCCTAAGGCCATCGGAAAACACGTATTTCTATGGGTCTTGGGAACTGAGACACTGCTCCTCTACCTGTCTTTCACACAGGAGTACCCTGAACTATATGGAAGGGTTGTAGCACTAAGAAGATTGAGAACCTCTGTAATAGAGGATGCTTGCTTATCACTGAACCACACTGTGAGGCATTTGGCAAAGTTAAGGCTCAAATGCAGGTTCTGTGACTCCTAGAATATCAATATGAACTTTAATGAAATTCAATAAATTGAACTTTCATGTAGTATTTGAATATGCTGTTCTGTAAAGACCTGGGGCATGCTGCTAGTCACCAGAACTCCAACCCTAGTGTAGAGATCGCCAATCAAGAAAGCCCACTCTTTCCATCTGTAGAGCTACTAATATACAAGAAAATTATATGTCATTATTTTATCCCCCCAAAAGGGTAACTTTAGTTTATTCAGAGGACTTTTAAACATCTTCTTTGACTATAAGGTCTCTAGAGAAAGACAACTCATATTATTTATTGTAATTAAGATTCATGATCCTACTTCCACCTGAGGGGAGAGCAGCCTTGCCAGTCCACGAAGGAAGACAAAGAAATCAGTCCTGATGAGACCTGATAGACTATGGTCAGATGGAAGGGGAGGAAGACCTCCCCTATCATTGGACCAGGGGAGGGGCAGAGAGGAAGAAGAGGGAGGGAGGATGTGATGGGGAGGGGAAGGGGAATGGAGCTATAGCTGGGATGCAAAGTAAATAAACTAATTAATAAAATAAGATTATTAAAAAAATAAAAGATTCATGATCCCAGGTATGATAGCACATATGTGCAATCTCAGGAAACAAGTATCAATTATTACACAAGTATGTTAAAAATCCCACCATGTTATTATTTAGAATATATTCCCAGTAATATTTAATCTTTGTTTTGTTGGTACTATGGATTGAGCCTAGGAATTCTTGCATAGTAGTTAAATGAGCTGCCACTCAGCTACATGCCCCAACCCTTCCCAGGAAATCTGAGCAAATTATACTAAGGTAGGTTTCATAGTCTACTGACTTACAACAGAACCTTTCAAGTAAGTTTCCAGATTCCCATGCAAAAACCTGTGATTCAACTAATAGCTACTGTGGAGTGAGACAAGATGATTAATTAATATGTACACGATTTTAAAAGCTCTGGTCTGATAGATGTTGATGATGGTAGCCAAGAAATACCTCTGGCAATGAATTTTTAAATGCCTCATATCTAAGATAAGACAAACCCTGTGCTAGATGAGAGGGCAGAGGGGCTATACAGTGTCACATTCCATGAAAAACAGGAGAGAGGTCACTGGTTAAAGTCAAAGTTTTAGATGCCACCTGGAGGTAATTTTACTCAGATCACAAAAGCTCTAATTATGCAGGTTAAGGGGAGAAAGCATTGTGGTTGGTTCAATCATTTTGAGGATTTGCTCTGTTTGTTTATGTTGCGTTGTTGGGAACTTTCTGAGGGCTGGTTCCATAGGTAAAGTGCTTGCTCTGCAAGCTCAGATCCCCAGCAAAGCCAGGTGAGGAGAGGAAGGCACTGTGTAATACCACATCTGGGAGGTGGAGATAGGGTTCTGGGTTTGCTGGCCACTCTAAATGAAAGGTGAGCTCCTGGTTTAGTGAGGGAGCCTGTCTCACAAATCAAGAGAGAGGAAAGGATAGCTAACCAGGATACTGTGCTTGAGAGTGTTTTCTGTTCTTCAGAGAACTAGGCGCAGTTTGCCACAGCCACATTAGATGGCTACCGCTGCCTGTTACTAAAGCAGCCACAAGCCTTTACTTTGTAAGTTCTCTCTCCCACAGTTTCCTTTCACAAAACACTGTGTTTCTTGGTGAAGTAAGATCAGAGCATCAGAAAATGTGATCATTTCTACTCAGAATTCCTAATTACAGTAAAAACATTTATCCCACATGGCTAAGGAGCAAAGAATAAAAAATATAGATTGTATATTAATGCCTACAGTGGTGGTGTAGACTATATAAAAATTCAAGAAAACTATGTAGCAATCATATAGTTGAATGTAAAAAAGGCAACTAGGGGGCTGGCAAGATGGCTCAGTGGTTAAGAGCACTGTCTGCTTTTCCAAGGGACCCCGGTTCAACTCCCAGCACCCACATGGCAGCTCACAACTGTCCATAAGCAGTTCCAGGTGGTCTGACACCCTCACACCAATGAACATAAAATAAAATTAAATAAATTATAAAAAAAGGCAACTAGATCAAATAACCTAAAATTTAGATTTGTCCTTTATAAAAACCTAATTTCATTTCTTTCTAGTCACTGAATTTTCTTCCCCTCAGGACTATGTTTAGAAAATGATAGTTCAATTTGTGAAGTTCTCTGCTGCTCTTCTGCATGAGAGAGAGAGCAAGTGATTGCCAAATGTGACCTAAGTCCACGTGGCCTTTCAGAGATCCCAGACTGGGATGGAATTCAAAACAGAGCATGAGATCTTGGTTATTACCAGCCTGATATTTTTGGGCAACAGAAAGAGTAAACTGGTCTATTTCTCCAATGTTGACAAATCTACCATTTAGTGCTGCATGTGTGCATGCATGTGTGCTTGCATGCATGTGTGTGTGTGGTTTTAAGGTATGAACTATCCTCAAAGCTCTACTTATTCTAAGTCAAAACAAGCTTACTGCATGGAGCATAAAAAGAGAATATGGAAGACTACAAGGAAGTAAACGTTCAATTTGCACAGTACAAGGAGAAATCTAGTCAAAGCAAGACCACAGATTATCAATGAACTTTGGATAAAGCAAATCACAGGTTCTTTTTTTCTTCCTTAAAACTGAGTTCATAAAGATAAAGTTACATTTTAATTTTTCCTAGGATTTGCATACTTTGTTTCCTTCTTTGCAGTGTTTTCAACCAATCCTTAAAACCCCACATCTTCCAACCAGGATTCCTCAACTGAAACAGAAGACTCAGAAACTGATTTATCTGAACACTGAATTTTATCAGTGAGTCTGAGAGGGCCCTGACTCTGTAACATCTCTGCTACACCTGTGGGATCTGTTCCAGAAGACCCTGCAAGAGCCAAGGACTCTGAGCTCCACCCATACTCTGTTATCTACCCACCTTCCTGTCTTTCTACAATTATTTTTTAAAGTTTATCCCTAATACATTCAGGAGGCAGAGGCAGGTGGACCTGAGTTCCAGGACAGTCAGGGCTATAACAGAGACCACATCTAGGTTCTCTAAAATTTCCAGAAATGGTACACATACAACTGGTACCATTTGAGAAGCAGCTGGAGGGATACAATAGGTGACTTTGTGGACCAGAGCTCATTGTGACTTTGAAGAGAAAAAGAGCCTTTATTATTTAATACTCATGCTTGGTAAATTTAGTTGTTATCCATCTAAATTCTATTTGTGAGAAAATAATGCTCATGTGCATTTATTAGCTCATTTTTCATTCCATAGTTCTACTCTCATATTTTGTATAAGTGAGGCAGAGTCAGTAACATAGTGAATAATAAAAAAAGTGAAAGTGTATAGATTAGAAAATTTTCTTTTAAATGTTTTGAAAAATTACCTTTAAGGCACATGAACAGAACTTATTGCTGAGAATTTTGTTGGTATTTTGTTTTTTCATTCTGATTTAGCCAGAAATATGGTGGTTTTCTTAATTAGGGTATTCACTCTGGAAAGCAAACTTTTTTGTAAAGACTGAAACAGTAAATATTTTAAATATGTTACTATTAGCATTAACATATTAATTAATATAATAAAGTAATAAACATGTTACTATTAATTAACATATTAATATTTTAATTAATGGTCTTTGTGGTAATGTCTCCATTCTGTGGTCATAATTCCAAAACAGGTATAAGCAACACACGAGTAAACTTGCATGAAAAGGTTTAACTGTGTCTCAATAAAATTTCATTTTTAAAACTAGGTCTACATAGTAATTTGCTGACCTGTAACCTTAAACATGTTTTTTTTTTTTTTTATAGCAACAACAGGAACCAGACATGATAGGGTAGGGACAGTTTCATAACTGTGACTTTTTACTATTAGTGCTACAATCAGATCTGGACTTAGAACAATGCGGTCTTCATCTTAAATTTTAAAATGTATTTAAGCTCAGTTGGGGAAGGTACTTGCTGGCAGCCTGAATAATCTGGTCCCTGGAACTCAGAAGGTCCAGGGAAAGAACTGCCTCCTGCGAGTTGTCCTCTCACCTCAGGTGTGTGCTAGGTGCACTGGACATATACTGTGTATGTCCATACATACACAACGCACACATACAAATAAATTAATCTAGAAAACTAAAAAAAAGTATAGTTATACAATATGTGATAATTCTGGAAATAGATAAAAGGCAGAACATTTTTTCTGATCACCTAATTAAAGAAAACTATTTACTGAACAAATGAGAATGCTGATTACTGACATATAACCAAATGACCATGCTGAGTTACAGATTCTTTGCAATATTAATAGATCATCAGTTAATATTAATTTGCAATATTAATAGATCATCATCATTAATAGATCATCAGTTCAACTTATTCAGTACTTAGGAGGCACCAAAACCAAGTAAAAGAAAAGATATATAAAGCCAGTAGTCACAAGTTCTTAGCTAGGACCACGCTTTACAGTCACCTGAGAACTTGTTTTGGGAGACCCTCTCAAGTAACCATACATGTTGAAGTCCAAGATGAAAATCTGGAAAAGACTACTTAGTAATGTGAGGCACCCCTGGCTTAGAATTGTTGCCAAAGACTTATTGTTTATGAAGACATATGAAACTATAAACATTTTCGCATCTCCACCCAGCGACTGTTATTATAGAATAAGAAAACAGGCTCTGGAATCAACAGTTTCCAGTTCTGTTTCTGCCATTTCCTAACTGTACAACACTAAGAAATGTCTCTGAGACTGAGTTTCCCTATGGATAATATGGCTATAGTGGTATGCAATTCAGTGCATTGGGAGGATAATTAAATTAAAACATATACAGTAACATAAAAAAACTCGGCATGATGGAAACAGTATGTCCACGATAGTTACGAACTGTTTATTACACATCCTTAAATTACTAAAAGTAATTACCAAGTACACTGCAACGTAAGCCCCTGATTTAAGGTTCAAAGTCTCTTTAAAACCTGTCAGTGAAGTGTTGAGGCTGATTCCAGTCTTAATACTGACCAGCAGAAGAGGTGTCCTTTGCCGCAGTCCACAGCAGGGGCTCTCAGCAATGGGAAGCTGAGTGTGTCAGAACCAGATGGATTTGATCCCTGTTTTGTTAGTCTGACCGCTCTTTCACAGCCTGCAGTAGGACACCATTTAATGGCAGGATTATTTTCAACAAAGGCCTGTTTAAAAATCACAACAGAAAAAACAAAAACAGAAAACAAAAGAAACAATTTTAGCTGCAAATTCACTGAAAGCTCCACAGTCACTAAAAGCAAACAGAAGAATGAAATCAAACACAAGATTTTAGCTTTAAAAAAATACTAAAAATAGTACTGTGAAGTACTGTAAAAACTTCAGAAGCAAAAATGTGGGAATTACCTTATAGAATTATTTTCAAAACTTTTTTTCTTTAATCTAAAAACCAGGTAAATGAAAATAAAGTAAAAAATGCAATCATCTGCATAAAAAGTGTCTAACTTAAAAATGTTTTGTCACATTGTGCTACATTTTTGATTAAATATAAACAAATACTTGTGTATAATTATGTTATATTTTAATACTAAATTAATGTCATCTTGATAACATTATTAAAAAATCAGTATTATACTTTTTACATTAAAGGAGGACCTATTTTTTTGCTTTTTAAAAATTTATTTATTTTTTTATTAATTACAGTTTATTCACTTTGTATCCCAGTTGTAGCCTCCCACCCTCCCTCTTTTCTCTTCCCATGCCCCTCCCCCAGTGCACTGATAGGGGAGGTAGGACCTATTTTTTTTAAGATTACACAATAGTATTTAGAGTTGGAAAAATCTATACAAAGCAATTGAAATAAAAGTTTTAAGTTTCATAAACAATTTTCTGCATGTTTCTTATTAACTTGTGAGTGAAAACAAAGGATAAAAGTAAAAAAATATATAATTTATTTATATTAAACTATTATTTGAAATAAAAATTATTAATTTCTATGGTACAATTTTGATTGTAAATATTCCTCTCAGGAATATAAAATATTGTTGGGGAAAGAGTAGGTACCAAGTACTCTGAAAGTTATTTTCATCAATCAGTTATAAAAAGGGACAAGTAAATTAGTAAAGAGTATCAACAGCTTTTTGGAGGGAAGGTTAACTTTCATTTTGCCTTTTATACCTATATACCTATAGAATGCTGCTTTGGTTCAAAGTTTTAACTAATATCACTATTCCTAACTGCATTTTTTTTTCTGGGAAAAAGACTATTACTTTGTTTATAAAAATAAAACACAGGCTTCGTAAGCTGGATACCTTACCTTAATATCAAACTGCAGGTATCGTTTGTCCATCTCCTTAGAAACTACACTCTCTATGACATCTACAGGCACAAGCTGAAAGCATTCGTAGGCAGGGCAGAAAATGTTATGGGCTTCACCTTCTTGAATTTTCATATTTAAAAACCTATTAAAATATCAAAAACCTATTAAAATATCAATTAAAAGAAAAAAATGAGAGGATGTAAGTTATTTGTATACCCTAAGCATCTTTTTCTTTTTGAATAATAGTCTATGAGTGTAATTAAAACATCAAAAGCTATATAGTGCAATGATAAATGCTTAGCATGCCTCAGAACCTAGGCTTATTCTTCAGCTCTCATTCTTTGCCAGAAGCTGCACATGGTGTTATACTGTTAGTTAATTATCATCTACCTACAAGCAAGAAACAAACTTTTTTAAGTCTGGATTTTAATGGAATTTTTTTTTTTTTTTTTTTTTGAGGCAAGGTGTTATGCATCTTAAGTGGACCTTGAACTGAGAATGTCCTTGACCTTCCGGTCTTGTCTCATCTGGAAGGAACAAACTACTTTTCAAAAAGTCAGAATAAACAAAGTATAAGTGTATAAATGAAGTATATGTGTTGTTGGGATTACAGGCATGTGTCAACAGGCCAGGTTTGTATAATACTAAGGTTGGAATTCAAGCCTGCAAGTCAAGCACTCTACTGAGATACATTCCTAGCTGTGGATTATACTGTTCTTAACAGTTTTAGAGAAAACAAATGGTAAAGAGGCAACTAAGTTATGATTGCCTGTATCATGATCAACAACTGGGATTTTTCTATTATCGTCTTCCTTTAGCACTGCCTATTAATTTCATTGCACTTAGGAAGAGAAAAAAAAAAACACAAAGGAGACTTATTAAAAAAAAAACTACTTTAGACATGAAGCATAAGCCTTACTATTAGGAAGAATGTCTGTGTAGGTGGAAAGAATAATTTCCTTTTAAATCACTGGCACAGATACCTCAAAGCACCTGGCTACAATGCTAATGCAGAGGAGATGGCAACAGTGAAATAAGACGGGAGGGTTTTCAAACTTTATAAGGCCCTTTAAAACTACTCTTCATTAAAAACCAAGTTTTACTCTTGTATATGCTGCTGAGGGAGCATTGTGAAAAATCTTACATTTATTTGTGTGTGGAGCTGAGGCCCACATACCACAGTGTGCGTGTAAAGACAGAGCACAACCCTGCAGCAGTCATTCCTCTCCTTCCATATTGTGGGTTTTGGGAATCAGACTCAGGCCATCAGGTTTAGATAGACAATGCCATTACCTGCTAAGCCACTGGACCTCTGGCCAGACAGCTATTAACTTTTAAAGATTTTTGAAAAATAATATATCAACTACCCAATTTGTTTTACTGGTATCCTGTTAGTTTACTTGTATCAGCTACATTGACTTGATCCTATTAAGACTTAATAGTCTAGTCTATGTTTAAAATCTAAAAAAAAAAAAACCAAAACAAAAAAAACCAGGAATATTTATTTATTCTAACTTTTTGAAAAGCAGTTAGCTCCTTCCAAATGAAGTCTTGCTTCACACTGTTGCGGAAAACATGGAAGTACACCAAATGATACCAGTAAACAGATCAGTGGGTTTTATATATATTTAGGGGTGAGGAAAGGTGGAGGAGGATGTTAAAAAAGACATGCAGGAGAGATTTAAAAAGAAAGGATAAAATTTTAATGCATATGTGCATATTTATGCTTGTGTGTGCAGGAACACGTAAATGTGGGAGCATTTGTATTTGTGTGTGTGTGTGTGTGTGTGTGTGTGTGTGTGCAGGCCAGATGACCTTAGGTGTTTTCTGAGAAACACTATAGTCCACCTCCTTTGAGATAGTCTCTTATTGCCATGGAGCTAGAGTGCTAGTTTTTAGTAAATGAGGCTAGACTGGCTAGCCAAGGAACCCAGGGCTCAGGCCTTTCTGCTTCTAACACTGGGACGATACGTGCATGCTATTGTGCCTGATGCTTCTGTGTGTTCTAGGCAGTGAGCTTGGTCTCTTATGCTTGGGCAACCACTTTACCGCTAAGCTATCTCTCGACCCCAATGAATTTAAATCTGGGAAGCTAACCGATACACATTATCTTGATTGTGGCAACAATTTCGTGGTGTACACATATGTCTCAGTTTGTGAATTAATTTATTTTAAATGTACAGACTAATACATATCAAGTGTACCATAGTAAAGCTGTAAAACAAAACAATACAAAACAGAAAGTCTCTGCTTTCTCACTCATGTCATGCTTCCCAGGTTCCACACTTGGTACACAATATTCCACAAAAAAAAAAAAAAAAAAATACTATCAAAGACTTTCTGAGATATTTACGACATTTTGCTTAAATCATCAAATACAAAGTTTTGTGAGTCCCCAGAGATAGTAAGGTATTGTACTGTTCATTTATACTGATGTGCATTTGTTTCGAAAACTCTCTCAGAAAGTGCAAGTATAACCTCTGAGAACCTATGAGAATGTATACATCTAAGAAAGATAACGAAGAGGAAATGAAAGAAAACATGAGAAAAATTTCCACTGTAATACACACCCAATCTCTAGCATAGGGATGGGACCTCAGATTAAAAGAAAAGAATTTCAAATATCTGTATTCTTACAAAATTTTTAAAGCTATCTGTTTGCTTTAAAAAAAAATTCAGAGACCATAAATGCGTAAAATTCTTGGAATATAACACAGAAACTGATTCTTGATATTCAGGTGCACACCTGAGATTTACAATATATGTAATATAAATGAAGATACTAACACAATTGTTTAGATACACTTTCTTTGATGTCAAAGGAAAAACAAAAATATTCTTTCTTTATGCTAAAACAGAACATTTCAGTGTAACTCAGAAACAAATATAAATAATCCATAGCATTAAATACTGGAAGCAAACAGTTTCATCACCAGATGAAAAGTTCTGTCATGTAGTAAGTAAGATGAATAAGCTGCTATATACTCACGACTCCCAACAGCCTCTACAAAAATCATGTCCACAGGGCATGTCCACTGGATCCTCAAACACAGAGATACTGCACATACAGATGTCACACTGCAGATGGACAAGAAAAGCGACTTAACAGGAGAGACGCAATACAGTCATTTTGTTCAACAGTTTAATGACAAAAGTACTACAGTAATTGTAAGTCTTAAAAATTATGTTTCAAAGCTACAAGGTCTGTGAAGAGTGCCTAGTTTGGACTGAATAATAAGTATGACTTGCCTTTTTATATCTGTCATCTAACTAAGTTTACCTATTAATCAGCATTGTGTGTCAGGAAAGGGAAATACAAGAAGTAAGTCATCAGCACCTATTCAGGTCAAGAGCTCATGGCCTGCTACAAAGTAACCACTTCAGTGCTATGTCCTTCAGTCTATGCTTACTATGGAAAATTCACAGAAACAGAGCAACTTTGCATTTTTGAACAAAGTAATTCAGGATATTATAATGGCAACTTGGGCTGGGGATGTGTCTCAGTGGTACAGTATTTGCCCAGCAGGGCTGAACACCTGAGCTCAAGTGCTAAGCACCTACCTCAACCCATACACACACACTGAAAAAAAAAAAAAAAAAAAGAGCAAAGTAGTTTTTCTTTTATCTTTTTTTAATTATTTTATTTTATGTGCATTAGTGTGTCAGATCCCTTGGAACTGGCATTACAGACAGTTGTGAGCTGCCATGTGGGTGCTGGGGATTGAACCCGGATCCTTTGGAAGAAGAGACGGTCCTCTTAACCATTGAGCCATCTCTCCAGCCCTCCGCAAAGTAGTTTTTCAAATAAGAAAGTCCAATACAAAACTATGTTATCTTCTAACATAACTTAAAGAAGTAAACTTTATATTAGAAATGTTAATTATATAAATGGACTTTTGCTTTCCTATATGGTTCCTATATAACACAAAGAAAAGCTTTCTTGTTTATTACAAATTTTGAGTGACTAAACCATTCAAGATGCCTCATAATTTCATACATCTCATACTAGGAGTGTACTGTTAATCTCACACAAAGGCAGTACTGCTCCTTGTTACAGGAGAAACATTTATTAAGGAGACGCACTGAATGAACTCAGAAGCTTTGCTAGAACAAGCACATCATCAAAATATATTGTAAATCCTTTAAAATATTAACACTCAACAAATTATTTTAAAAACTGTATTTTAAGTTAAGCATGCATACTACACACTAAGTTTTAGTATTTATGTATGCTGTCTTTAAATACACTACTTTTTAAAATTCATTTATTTATTATTTACTAAAATTTACTCACTTTGTATCCCAGCTGTGGCCCCTTCCCTTGTCTCCTCCTAATCCCATCCTACCTCCCTCTTCTCCCCCTATGTCTCTCCCCTAGTCCACTGATAGAGGAGGTCCTCCTCCCCTTATATCTGACCCTAGCCTATGAGGTCTCATCAGGACTGGCTGCACCATCTTCCTCTGTAGCCTGGCAAGGCTGCATACCCCCACACCAAGGGGGAGGTGATCAGAAAGCCTGCCACTGAGTTCATGCCAGAGACAGCCCCTGCTCCCCTTGCTAGGGAACCCACTTGGAGACTGAGCTGCCATGGGCTACATCTGTGCAGGGATTTTAGGTCTTCTCCATGCATGGTCCTTGGTTGGGGTATCAGTCTCTGCAGGGCCCAGAGGGCTCAGGGTTTTTTTTTTTTTTTTTTCCTTTTTAATTTTTATTATTAGTTACATTTTATTAACCCTGTATCCCAGCCGTATCATGCTCCCTCAATCCCTCCCAACCCCACCCTCCCTCCCTCCTCTCCTCCCTGCCCCTTTCCAAGTCCACTGATTGGGGAAGACCTCCTCCCCTTTCATCTGACCCTGTTTAATCAGGTGTCTTCAGGACTGGCTGCAAAGTCCTCCCATTAAATACTTTTAAGCGAAAATATAGCACGTCTTTTCTAAACTATTTAAAAAGAGAAAATATTTTGCTTTTCAACCTATAGTTCAGAGATCACAAAAACATTCCATAGTAGTGAGAATTTACCAATGCATGAAAATAACTGCCTTCAAAGCAAGGTAAAATATTCAGTTACAATAATCCAACCAGGCACTCCATGGGACAGTACCACATAGTTTAAAGGTTGAAAGACTAAAATCAAAGCTATGGGAAGTACACTGAGCCATACCAAACTGGCATCTAGATCCCCAGGAGACAGGCTGATTTCATCTGGAGAGGTGACAGAAGAGCGCGTGGTCCTTGGAGTTCTCGGAGAAGGAAGCGTGTCCCAGGCATTGTACCCACTTGGTGGTGGAGTTGGCATCTGCACCCCTGACCGTTGGCAGCAGTTCTCTGGGTTGGACATCCAAGCTTCAAGTAATTTCTCCCTGTCCCAATCTTCAGGAAACAGAACAGATACCTATCAAACCCCAGAAACCACAATGTTCTGAAACCTACTAAAACCAGAAACAGGTTAAATGAAGAAGATATATGTCACCCAAATTAAAAATCAAAGAATTTATACAATAGTAATTACACACGCATGTCCAGGCTGACTGAAGTTAGTAATATTTAAAAAAGAAATTTAAACTCCTATTACAAATATCAATACCTAAAAATGTTCTCAGACTTCCCACTAATTTTTACTACTATTTTAAGTAGATGACTCACATCATTTAGAATTTACTAAATTTTTTTTGGAGGGGTGATAGAGGTTTAATTTAGCCACTTTCCTCTTTTAATACATAATTTTGCAACTGTCTTCACAATGATCTCTAGTTGTCAAATGCTTATATAGGCCTAAAGGTCATTTGGTAAAGAGCCAGAAAGTAGCATGTAAAATATGAATTAAGTATAAATCTGTGTTATTGGAGCTTAAATTTGGATTAGTTTACAATAGATGATCTTCCTTCTAAGAGTAATTATAAAACAGTTAAGTGAAACATGTTATTATAAAGTTTAGAGCCATAAAAATCCAAATTAAAAAAAAATCAAAATATTCAATTATTTTGCTTGGGGTTGTATTACAGGATGTATATTAATTTATTTCTAACAAAGTTGTCAATTATTATTTAGCTGAAGAAACCAAGACTAAGGGAAGTTATATAACTTACTCAAGCTCAGAAAGAGACTTGGAACCTCTTTTGGGATTCCAAGCATGTATTCTTTCCACCATTACACACTGTAAAGTGTATTAAAAGTGCCCCCTCAGATGTAAAACAGAACGATATAATCTAGTCACACCACTATTTACAAGAATCAAAGGCTTATCTTTACACTGACTGCAATGACTAATGGAGTCAACTTAGAATCTAACCATCAGATGAACAGATAAACACACACACACACCAGACCCCTACACAATACACTACACACACTTTTTTAAAAGTTCTACTAGAAACCACACAGAATTTATTAAACCCTTTTACATAAGCTCATGGTTTTTCTCTGCTTTTCTGCTTCTTCTTCCCATTTCTTATAATATCAGAAAACAGTATACAATTTCTGACATTTCATTAGTATTCGGAACCCTACATGCCGTTATCTCCCTTTTCTTGTTTCAGTAATATGGAAAAGCAATTTTAAAAGTTACCTGCCTTTTTTAATGCTTTCCAAGCAATCTGATTTAGATTTCAGAAAAAGAGAAAGTTTTCCGACATGTTTTATCAGTAGTGGTTCATGACAGTCTATAATCACAAATGATAATGCTCAGTACACATTCAATGCAAGTTACGTGCACAAGAATACTGATCGGGACATTCAGCCTACCTGACAGGAGTACACTGCAAGTCAAGCTAAACTGACACTGGTAAAACAATTTATTGTATTATAATGCCAAACTCAATGAAGTATTAGGAAAACAAACACAGGATGACATATACCCAAGACCAACCATTTTCCTTACTCTTGGAATAGGAAAGTGGTTGAGTATTATAAAAGGTAACTTATAATATCAGTGTGTTCAAAGAGAATAACAAGTACTGCCATTTCTTTTTAAGACTGAGAAAAGTACAACACATTGAAAAACGATCCTTGCCTTTTTAAAGAGAGGTTAAAAGGAAACTGTTAGCAGACTAAAGAGACAGCTTGAGAACAAGGGAAAATCTTCAGTAGATATATACTGCTAAAATTAAACATCACTCCATTCTGCAACTACCAGTCAATAAATGGACTTAAGAGCCAAACACACAATTCTCAAGACAAACAAAAGGTCCATACACATTTTTAAGTGTTCAACATCTCTGGCCACTGGGAGTCCATCTCACTGTATTTGAAATGATTAAAGAAAACAAATGATGGTAACAAGCATTGAAAAGTTAGAAACCTTATTCACTTATTGTTGAGTGTTAAGTAGCATAGCCACTATGCAAATTAGTATGTAGGTTTCTCAAAAACCAGAAATAAAATTACCACATACAACACAGTTACAGCAACCAATTCTGGGCACATATGGAAAGGATTGTACACCATATCATAGAGGTACTTGCACATCTATGGTTAGTGCTGCGCTAGTCACAAAGCCAAGGAAATCAGTCTACATACACATGAACAATGAAGAGATAATAAACGGTGTTATATACACACCAAGATTTTATTCATCTAGAAAGACAAATGAAATTATAAAAATTTCTAGAAGTAGGTGTCTAGAAATTATCACATTGAAATAACGCAGACTAAGAAAGACAAATATTGCATGTCCTCTCGTACATGGGTCCTAGGCTTTAATTTATATATACACACATACATATATATATGGGTGTAAATATGGTTATATCATAAAGTAGAAAAGGGACAAGAAGGAAGCCCGCGAGGGTACTGGAACACAGTGGCACGGAAGAGAAAAGGAGACTATTGGGACTACAAGAGTTATGGGTAGCAGGAGAATGAGAGAAGAGCTAGGGAGGAGGATCAACAAAAAGAAATTATGAATGAAAATGCCATAAGAAAACTTCTTACTTTGTATGCTAACAACAACAAAAACAAACAAAATAAATCCACATACATGCGGTCAACTGAAGTTTTAGGTAAAAAGGCAACAAAGCAGAGAAAGGCAGAGTTTTCATTAAAGGACAAAATCTCCATGTAAAAAATTATAATTTTAATTCATATCATAAACCTGGATATGTGGATATAGCTTAGTGGTAAAGATCTTGCCTAGCATACACAGGGCCCAAGGATTGATCACTAGCAATAGCACCAAGAGAAAGAAAACAAACAAACAAACAAACAAACAAAAAGAAACACAGTATAACTCAGGCATGGTGGTACACAACTGTGATCCCAGTACTGGGGAGGCTGATGCAGGAGGACTGCTGCAAGTTCACGACCAGCCTGGACTATACAGCAAGATCTTATAAACCAACTAACCAACAAATCAATCCATCAATCAAACTCATCAAAATTCAGGATAAAATCTTCATAACTTTTGGTTAAACAAAGATACAAGGTACAACTGGCAACAGCATGATTCATATAATAAATAAAATGGTGTTCATTTAAAAAGAAAGATTTGGGGATGGAGAGATGGCTCGGTGATTAAGAGCACTAGTAGCTCTTCCAGATGACCTGGGTTCAATTCCCAGCATCCATATGGCAGCTCACAAGTGTCTACAACTCCAGCTTGAGGGAATCCAATACTCTCATACAGACATACTTACAGGCAAAACACCAATGCACATAAAATAAAAATAAACAATTAAAAAAAGTTTTGTTAGCAAGAGAAAGGCAATTCTTTTAGCCTGAAAAGCAAATCGGGGTCAAACCAGTAGTTAGTGAATCTAAAATACCAGAGGCATTCCCAGGATTAGAGTTTCCATCTGTTCACTGATATATTACTTTTAAAATTCAATTTCTTGTCTAAATTAAGCCCTATACAATTTTCCCATTTGGTTTTCTCCAAGACCACTGTTTGCAACACAGTAAAGCACAAACAATGTGTGATTTTCTTACTTAATCCAACAAAATGATAAGGATCACTAACAACGAGTGTTACAATGGGATATTACATAATTAAACCAGACCGTGTGTGTGTGTGTGTGTGTGTGTGTAAAAAATTACCATGATACACATGATATAACTACCCTCCTTACAAATCACAAGATACTCAAAAGACATGTTTTGAATAGAGTAAGCTGAGTTTAGTGTCTGGTAAAAAGTAAGTGGCAGACCAGACCTACAAAGATCAGCCATAGATGCTGGACAAAACATAAATCATAACTTCCTGGAGACACTGAAGAGCAACAAAGAGCAGGCAGAGAATGGAAAGCATTGATAACTTCCCAACTGAAAAGGTACTGAGTACTGAGTGTAGCATTTCAAGGTATTATTTATAAAGGAAAAAAGGGATATATAATTAACAGTGGAGTCATAGTTCTATAATTAGAAGATTATCTGGACTAGTATTCAGTGATACGAAAGTTTAATATTACATATTAATTTTTAAAAACATTATTAACAATATTTGCATATTAACCTTACTATTATTGAAAACAATGATTTCCCTGTGTTGGAATTTTTTTTCACAGAAGTAATATTACTTTTAGAATCACATAAAATATTATTACAAAGAAAAAAAGAGCAAGCCATCAAATTTGTTTTATTCTGAAATTAACAATTGAAAAAAGAGTGAATACATATATTTCTACATTACTTTTCCTTCTATAAATTTATTTAACTTACTATTTAAAAATAATATTGCCAAAGACCACTTTTGCATTTGGCAACTTGTCTATAATTATAATCTATCAGGGTACTATATCTGGAATACATTTCCTGTTCAGTTTTTCAATATTTTCTCATTGCTGCCCTCCAAAAAGTTACTAGTGGTGCACAGTGTAAAGATCACTTTACACTTGGAAGTTCAAATTCCAGATGTGTTACTTATTTAACTGTATGAGGTTGAACAAAATCTAGAAAAGCTATAAACACTTTGGCTCAATCCTTTCAGCTCTGTTTGCTGAGTGCTTAGTAGATAGCCCTTAAAACCAAGAGAAATCACCAATGGTACCACTCAGTACTATCAACTCTATTAAAAACTTCAGACTAAAGTAACCATAAATTAATTAGTATAAAGGTAAATGCCGTTTTCCAAATTTAGAATACAACCAAACAATTTTCTTGGATGTAGTCATTGAAAGTGGTAAACTATAATAACTTAAAAATGTTTAAGATATACTGAGAAATTGTAATAAAAATTGATTTTCATTAAAATATATTAAACATTATCAAACTATGAAGCATATAAAATAATTTCCTTAAACACTGAGGCATCTTGAAGTCATTCTCTGTCTTTTTTGTTGTTTTGTTTTTGTTCTTGGAGGCAGAGTTTCTCCGGGTAGCTCTGGCTGTCTCGGAACTCACTATGTAGACCAGGCGGGCCTCAAACTCATACAAATCCCACTGCCCTTGCCTCCTAAATGGGATTAAAGGCACAGGCCACTAGTGCCCAGCGATTTCATTTTATTTTTGTTTTTTTTGAGACAGGATTTCTTTGTGTAGCCTTGCTGTCTGGAACTCACTCTATAGACCAGGCTGGCATTGAACTCAGAGATTCGCCTGCCTCTGCCTACTGAGTGCTGAGATTAAAGGTGTGTTCCACTGCCGGGGGGTCCATTATGTCATTTTAAAATAAAGGAATCAGTATTATAGCGCAATCTCAGGTTAAATAAGCCAAGTTTAATCTTACCTACTACAAATATCTCTCAGTACAATAATATGCTTTGATTCTATCTTATTAGACATTTAGCAAACATTTATTGAATGTCTTTTAAGTCAGGTAGTGAAGGTATATAATGATAGGAAAAACCAACCACAATCCTTCTGTTCATGGAACTTACAGAAAGGAAATCAATAAAAAATTTGCCACTGTTAGAAGTACCACAAAGACACTCCCTGTCACAGAGGAAGACAGGACGGCCCCTCGAAAACAGCAAGGCACGTACGTCTAAAGAATAAATGGGAGCTGACCAGATGAAAGGGGAGAGAAAGGCACTGTGGGTAGGGGGGGAACACAGAATGTTCAGAGGTCTAGTGGTGGGAGGAAAAGTGGCACTGTTGTGATGTTAAAAAGTTCAACGCATGTGGAGCATAGAGACCCTGGTAGAAGCACTATGAGATGAGAGTAAAGAATTGGCAAGGGGTTGGCCACACAGAACATATCAAATATATTTCTATCTTCAGTTTAGCAATGATAGAAAATCAAAGTAGAGCTGGGCTGGGGACATGAAGAATAAACTGTTGAAAAGAGTATTCTGAGTAGAATGGAGAGGACAAAAATGGAATAGGCTGTCAGTGAAGGAAAGAAACATTCTAGAAGAAGGCTACCATATGCCATAAATGGAGGCAACAGTGGTGCAGGCAACATGGAGGTAGCAGAAAAGGGGAGAACTGACAATTTGGTAATAAGAAGGTCCAGGGGCTGAGGGAGAAGACATGTCAGCTGTGTCCAAGGTTTGTACCTTGACTACCCAGTTGGTTGTCTGCTGCTTCCATCTGTAGAAACAGGGAACACCAGAGAACAAGGTAGACTTGGAAGAGTAGAATTTTAACTTTATATGAAGAAATTAAGGTGTTTTTGATTGAAAGGACTTTCAAAAAGGTATTATACATAAGATATGGAGCTCAGAACTAAGATGGGTTGTAGAGGGAGAACTCTACATTGATGAAAGCCTTGGGTGAAGAAAGCCTATGCCTAACAGAGAAGATGATGAACTGCCAAAGCAGTTATGAACAACCCATTGATAAGAATTTATCTAAGGACAAGCAAGTTATACTATTTAAGAAATTTTATTTTTTCAACAGGCCCACGGAATTCATAATTTCAGGAGTTTAGAACACTTGTCCTTGCAGAGGACACTGGTATGATTTCCAGCACCTACATGATGGCTCACAACTACTGGCAACTACAGCTTTAGAAGATCTATCACCCTTTCTGACATCCACATGACCAGGCCAACATGCAGTGTACACACACACACACGCAGGCAAAACAGTCATACACATAAAATCAATCTAAATGTTTTTAACCACAGAAGTTGCTTGTATTACTGAAAATGTCCAAAAGGATGTTTTTAAGATTTGAATACTATTTAGTAAGCGTCACAAAACATTTATTACTTCTGCCTAATTTAGGTCAATTTTATAACCTTGGGTCTAAACTTGACAACAGATAGCATGACCTATATTCTTATGAAAAGCTGTGTGTCAGCAAGACTATGATCTTCCAGACTGTGAGCTTACAGTCTGAAGCACAGCTCTACAGATGGTAGCTCTGTACGCTGTTCTATATTCTAATACAGCTATCTCTGTAAGCTTATTTTATTATGGGATGTCAGGATACTACCTAAATAATACCAAAGAGATGACAATCAGAAAACCTGTATTCTGCACTTAATGCTTTAATAAAAGAAATACAAAACAAATGCTTTGTCAAGTTATCAGAGCCAAGCAGAGTGGAATGGGCCTGTAGTTGGGAAGCTGAAGCAGCACTGTGATCTGGAGACCAGCCTGGCTATACTGTGAGACCCTATCTTTAAAAAGTCAAAAAATGTAAAACAAAAACAAAAAGTTATCATAGAATAGACAAATGCTGAACAAAAAACTCAGTTAGGTTTTACTTGAGAGAACAAAGGTTATATGTGGCAAAGATGACTAACTGCAAAAATGTTACCATGTAAAACTTACTTGCACTTAGGAGTGACTCCATGGTTAAAATCTGGGCAATGACATCTGCAGAAATGATATATGGCACATCTGGGAAGGGCTCAGAAAATTTACCACAGCTATTCTTCCCTTTCTGACTGGTTGCTTAGGATGGATAAACTACTTCAAGATGTCAAGTCTTGGTGTCCCTCAATGACGTGTGTGGAGTAGAGCCCCATCTCACATCAAGATAGAAATGCTTGAACCGTGTAATATGATTAAGAGATGTTTCATCAGCTAGCTGATCCTAAGTGTTAAAGTAGTTCTTCCTTATCCACATAGAACATGTTCCAACACTGGCCTGGGCATGGGCAATCTCATGCCACCCTGAATGGTGTGCAATTCAAAACTTAACGTTTGTTTCTTGCACTTTTTATTTGATGTTTGTGGACTTAGCTGAGCATAGGCAACTAACGCTATTGAAAGCAAACCATACTGGGGTAAACCATAGGCTGAAGGGTGACCCCACTGATGAAGCTCCCTCCTTCCTGCCAGCTCTGCAGTTTATTTCTTAAAAGTTTGTTTTTAAATTGCTTTTGTTTTCAGGGTTTTGAGACAGAATATAACTCTGTAGTGCAGGCTTCCCAGAGCCTTACTCTGCAGCCATAGTGATCCTGCTATCCGTGACTCTTGTGTGTGGAAATAACAGGGAGGAGAAACCATGCCTCACTTTCCACACTATACTTAAATATACATCCTATGTGAAAGCGGTAAATAAAGGACACATTATATTTAGTGGTGCTATGAGTCTTGTTCTAAAGAAATATGGTAACGCAATTTAAAGCATTTCCTATGACTGTTTTAGTTTGTTTGGTTATTTTGAGAAAGTCTTTAGTCCTGATACCTCTGACTCCTAATTTATGGGATTTTAAATGTTCCTCTCACTCCCAAGATTCTGTACAAGTTCTCAAATTATGATTGTTAGGTATATCATTAGCTAAAAGGAGACTGTTCTGCTATTAAACTGTATGAATTGTAACAACTTCCAAAGTGACAGTCTGTGCTAACAATCACAGAAACTAAGAACAAATTTGGAGAAATTTTTTTGGTTATACCTTTAAGAATGAAAAGGTAGATAGGGCGGTGGTGGCCCATACCTATAATCCCAGTATTCCAGAGGCAGAGGCAGGTGGATCTCTGCATTTGAGGCCAGCCAGGTCTACAGATGAGTTCCAGGCCAGCTAGAGCTAAAAGAGGAAAAAAAAAAAAAAAATCTGTCTCAAAAATACGAGAGAGAAAAGAAGAGATAGAAAGAGAAAAAGAAGGAAAGAAAGGAAGATGACAAAAGTGAATAAATAAAAAACAAAAAATTTTTTAAGATAGTATATTCTTAAATCTTAATTTCATTTTGCACAATTCATAAGAAACAGCTCTTGAATAAACATAATTAATAACAACACAATTTAATTGGGTCACTATAAATTAATACTTGAATGATGTTAGCAAAAATTACTCAGTCGCTCAATCTAAAAACAAGAAAGAAAAAGGAATTTCTGATTTCCTCTTTGACGCCACTTCATGCATCAGATATAAAGTGTGAGGGTGATGGCTCTTAGAGCAACACTTGCATAGAAACTATGGAGGCTCATATTAAGAACATGCACATTAAACACAGACCCTGCCATGATTAACTCTCAAGTTTCAAAAGGCACTGAGTTACCAGAGGCATTAGACAGTTCTCTCATTACCGTGAGCTCGAAGCAGCGCTTCAGCAGTAAACAGAGGGGCCTGGAGCATGTCTGCCGTCTCCACAATAAGCATATCTTTCAACCTACGAAGATCTTGGGGCCTGAGTCCTTCATATGGCTTTGGAAAGAAGAAAAACAAAGTAAAATTGGCTACTATATTCCTAATGAAATAAATATGGCTACCATTTACCATTCCAGCTTGATCTCAGCTGTGAGGGACTTTTCGGCTCCACCACCTTGGGTGTGAGTCTATCCTTTCTTCAGTCCATTATAAACCAGAAAGTGGCTGCCGGAGAGCACTTCTCTATCATTCTCAAAACCAGATATCAAGATAGGAGACCACTGTACGCAACAATATTACACACTTCTGGATAATGCATAAAAAGCTATAGAAAATAGAACTACTACAAAATAATCCTTATTACAATTCTCATGTATTTTTATCTAGTCTATTCTTGATGTGTGTCAGAGGTATGCTCAATTACACAGTTTCGGTAACTAAACAACTGAATGGTGACCAACTTATACTTGTAAATATAGAACATAAGATCACATTTAAAAAGAAGCAGAATTTCCCAAATATCTAGGAGGGACTAGCTGTCTTCTAATGGAGTCACATAAAAGAAAATGAACACGTTAATGACAGAGACTGACAGAACTCAACCACATAAAAAGTCTACCAAGATTTAATAAAAAGTCTGTTATTTTAAGCATATAAAAAAATTTGACAATCCATAAATGAAAAATTATAAAACATAAGCATTCAAATAGATACAAACGTTTTATCTACTAACTTAGCCATGGTTAGAAATACAAGATAACACTTAATGTTGGTAAAGTTTTAGAAAGCAGGTCTTTGGATTCATAGGTGAAAATAAAAATCTACATATAACATAACAACTTGGTGGCACAAGCTTCTCTTTAGAACAATTCACCTTTTAACCCACTGTATAAATCCATTCCAACATAAACAGAACCAGTCATCTGTAGCGTTATTGGGAAAAGACAATAAATGCAAATAGCTCAAAAAGTTACTAGCAGACTTATATGATACTTACATGTCACAACACTCATCATTCATTTAAAATGATTTCCTGAGCTTGTAAAAATTCAGAAGTCTTAAGAATAAAAACTTCTGTTGAAAATAAAATATGTACTATCATTACAACAACATAAAAATATACAAAGGGCAAAATGTTAAGGTGATCTTGTAAAATGCTAAGGATTACTTGAAAGCAGTAGAACTTTAAGAATCAGTGGGATGCGAAGGAGACACTAACAGTGGCAGTACACATCTGCAGAGTTTGTCCCATTAAAAACAGAGGAGCAAACTTAGGTTAAACACACTTTGTATCACATGCCATAAACACTCTCCTTCATCTCTGTATACTCCTGCCATGGCTGCCATGGCCATATATTGTGGCCACATGAAATTAAGCACAAAGAACTAGAAAACTAACCCAGGGTTCCAAATAGGGATTTTATTAAAGAACACTGTAATTTAATCCTAATTATCATTAGAAAAGTGTCCAAAGCTTATTATTAAGCTAACTATAAAATATACTTTCCCCTGCAAAACACAATAAATCCCTTCATAGTTAAATCTGCAGAATGTGCTCCAGAAGTTACATACTATATCTATTGCAGAGCTCAGTCATGCCTTCCTAGGGACGGCACCCTACCTCAGCAAAGAAGTACTTCTTGATATCCCCAAAGGTGGTAACTATATATTTCCTGCACTTATTTCCTAAAAGTTCCTTGTCAAATTAGCAATCATCTAACTTTTTCATGTTAAATCAACTAAGTAGAGAGCAAGTAGTGAATTTAATCACAACAGTGCAAATAAGTAGTAAAATACACTTTCTTGCATTTCTGACAACATATGGAGAGTTTGGATTTCAGCTATTTTAGGGACAATATAAAGTGGCCTATGTACACTAAACTCTTAAATTGTGCAGCGTTAGATTGAAGTAAGTAATAATGGAAAAGTTCTTGAAGGACAAAGGCACAGTGCCTTCATGAGCAGATAACACAGTCTGTGCATCTCTAGGAGGGCTGTAATTAGGTCATGTGCAACATTTCAATACATTGTTTCATCTCAAGTGCACACTAGCTCTCCCTTCTGTGGTAGAAATTAAAAGGAAAGTCCCTGCCTCTTTCCTGTGGCAAAGATAAATTTGTTACTATTGCCAGAGTACAGGGCAGCAATAACCTTTAAAAGGGGGGAAAAAGTCAAAACTGATACAAAAAAAGGAAACTAAATTAAAAAGAAGCCTGAATAAAAGTACCTCTTCTGTAATCTGTGCATACTCCTGCTATGAAAGAACCATAGAAGAAATGAGCAACAGCCTAATACAAAAACTACTATTTTGATAACAGGTAAAACAACTACTTCAGAAAAACTACGATATAAAGGAATCATGAAAAGAGTATTTTTTCTATTATTTATTCAACCACTGGAGCTACAAGTGAACAATTTTATTGCATAAAAGAGATTTCTCAGCTGGGTGAAACATTTGTGCACAGGCCAGCCCAAGGAGAGAATCACTGCGCGCGCGTGCACGCGCGCGCGCGCGCGCACACACACACACACACACACACACACAAATTCAAGACATGAAAGACACTTAGAGGAGAAAAGTAATGGCTCTTGTTCCCTTTATTAGCTGATCTCTGAGGTTAGCTTGGGAAAGAAAACAAAAAATGTTACCACAGAAAGTCCTTCATTCCAGCCTCTTCTCTCTTAGTTGTTCTTGCTTAGCTGTCAACACCTAGGGCATCCCATATACTTAACTGACAGGAAGCTTTGCTGTTACAGGCACTGCCTTTAATTATGCTAGATAAACTATATTACTAAGGTAATGTCCAGCATGTGGACAGTCTGCCAGGTGAAAGACCTGAAGCCTTCCCCAGGGTACTGCCATTTTCTCTTCACTTACTCAGAGACAGGCAGGCATATAACCTTTAATAATGTATATTTTACAGAGGCCTAATCACCATCGGCTATTTAGAGTTAAAAAAAAAATCATTATTTTTATTTCTTTATGATAAGTACCATTCTGTGGAAATTAGGGGCTCATTTAATTTTTAATTCTTATATATGTTTCTCTTATATATGTTCTTATATATGTTTTATATTCTTTTATATTTTAATTCTTATATATGTTTTAGAATATAAACAAGAGGAGGGCAGGTAGCCTATCTATATTCCTCACTGACACCTCAACTCACCTAAAATACTGCCTGCCAAAGTAGACAATTTTGTTGGATGATGAGATTAAAGTCACTTTGATACCTAAACAATACAGACCAACAAAAAAAGAGAACTTCAGGCCTATCTCTCTTATGAACATTGATATAAAAATACTCAATAACATACTTGCAAACCGAATCCAAGCACACATAAAAGATATCATCCACCATGACCAAGTAGGCTTCATCCCAGGTATGCAAGGGTGGTTCAACATACGAAAATCGATCAATGTAATCCACCATATAAACAAACTGAAGGGGAAAAACCACATGATTTCCTTAGATGCCAAAAAATATTTGACAAAATCCAACACCCCTTCATGTTTAAAGTCTTTGAGAGATCAGGGATACAAGGCACATACCTAAACATAGTACTAAGACAGCAAGCCTATAGCCAACATCAAACTAAGCGGAGAGAAAACTGAATTAATCCCACTGAAGTCAGGGACAAGGTAAGGCTGCCCACTCTCTCCATATCTCTTCAACATAGTACTTTAGAGCAATAGGACAACTAAAGGAGATCAAGGGGATACAGATCAGAAAGGAAGAGGTCAAAGTATCACTATTTGCAGATGATATGATAGTATACACGAATGACCCCAAAAATTCAACCAGAGAACTCCTTCAGATGATAAACACCTTCATTAAAGTGGCTGGATACAAAATTAACTCAAAAAAATCAGTAGCCCTCCTGTATACCAAAGACAAAAGGGGCGAGAAAGAAATTAGGGAAACTACACCCTTCACAATAGCCACTAATAACATAAAGTACCTTGGGGTGACACTAACCAAGCAAGTGAAAGACCTGTTTGAAAAAACTTTCAAGTCTCTGAAGAAAGAAACTGAAAAAGATATCAGAAGATGGAAAGATCTCCTGTGCTCATGGACTGGTAGGATTAACACAGGATTAAAATGGACATCCTGCTAAAAGCAATCTACAGATTCAATGCAATTCCCATCAAAATACCAACACAATTCTTTACAGTCCTTGAAAGAACAATTCTTAACTTCATATAGAAAAATAAAAAACCCAGAATTGCTAAAACAATCCTGTACAGCAACAGATCTTCTGGCGGTATCTCCATCCCTGATCTCAAGCTGTACTACAGAGCATAGTAATAAAAACTTCATGGTACTGGCATAGAAACAGAATGGTGGCTCAATGTAATAGAAGACCCAGAAATAAACTCTCACATCTACGGATACTTGATTTTTGACATAGAGGACAAAACCATACAATGGAAAAAAGATAGCATCTTCAACAATGGTGGCGATCTAACTAGATGATGAGATTAAGAAGTAGATTAAAAAAATAAAAAAATGACGAGGACTCTCAACTTATCTGGTTCATTTATAATTTTGTACTAAATTAAGATGTGCCAAAATTTACAAAACATATCATAGACTATCTGTACCATAAAATGAAGAGGAACTTTAGCTCAAATATAAAGGTTAAAAAATATCTAAGTCACTTTTTCTTATAATAGGTTTAGTATGTCTGGTTTTATATTGAGGTATTTGATTCAGTTGGACTTTAGTTTTGTGCAGGGTGATAAGTATGGATCTATTTGCATTTTTCTACATGTAGACATCCAGTTAGACCAGCACCATTTGTTGAAGATGCTATCTTTTTCCCATTGTATGGTTTTGGCATTTGATTCTACCCTGCAGGTATCAAAGCAGACACTGAGACTCATAACCAAACTTTGGGCAGAGTGCAGGGAATCTTATGAAAAAAGTGGGAAAGAAGTAAGACCTGGAGAGGACAGGAGCTCCACAAGGAGAACAACAGAACCAAAAAAATCTGGGCACAGGGGTCTTTTCTGAGACTGATACTCCAACCAAGGACCATTCATGGAGATAACC